AACATGCCAAATTAAAATCAAATTAAAGATAACTAAATGAAAATGAACCCATGAAAATATTGGTTTGAGCTGGTGCTTGAAACCTCTCTTTCCCTTATTTATACAGGAGTATGGAACAGTCTTCCTGCAGAGTTGGTAGGAACTTCACCAGTACCAGAATAAAGACTTTAATTTAATAAGCTGCAGTGAAATTCCCCCCCTTAAAAAAAATAAATTATATATATACAGATTTTAATAATAAAGTAAACAGTGGTACATTATGTTAAGGCATATTGTTTAGGTCAATGTAGCAAGAATATAACAAAACAAACAGGGTTAAAAACAAGAACACACACAATTGGAGGTTAACCCCTTAAGGACTGAGCCAAATGTACACGTTGTGAACGAAACAAAATGTAAACAAAACCTGGCATTTGCGCTACATGTCTGTCCAACCGTAATTCACCTCTTTCATAGTAAATGCACCCACCCTTATTATATATCATTTTATTCAGGGGAAACAGGGCTTTCATTTAATATCAAATATTTAGCTATGAAACATAATTTAATATGAAAAAAATGGGAGAAAATAAGAAATTTTTTTGATTTTTTTAGTTCTACATGACATTTTAACTGTCAATGTCATAATACTGTTTGCTTTTACTGCAATAAAATACACATATTTGTATTCAGCAAAGTCTCACGTGTAAAACAGTACCCCCTATGTACAGGTTTTATGGCGTTTTGGGAAGTTACAGGGTCAAATATAGCACGTTACATTTGAAATTGAAATTCGCCAGATTGGTTACGTTGCCTTTGAGACTGTATAGTAGCCCAGGAATTAAATTTACACCCATAATGGCATACCATTTGCAATAGTAGACAACCCAAGGTATTGCAAATGGGGTATGTCCAGTCTTTTTTAGTAGCCATTTGGTCACAAACACTGGCCAAAGTTAGCGTTAGTATTTGTTTGTGTGAAAAATGCAAAAAACGCCAATTTTGGCCAGTGTTTGTGACTAAGTGGCTACTAAAAAAGACTGGACATACCCCATTTGCAATACCTTGGGTTGTCTACTATTGCAAATGGTATGCCATCATAAGGGTAATTTTCATTCTTGGGCTACCATAGGGTCTCAAAGGCAACCTAACCAATCTGGCGAATTTTTAATGTGAAAAAAAATGAAACACAAGCCTTATGTTTGATGCTGTAACTTTTGAAAACACCATAAAACCTGTACATGAGGGGTACTGTTGTACTCGGGAGACTTCGCTGAACACAAATATTTGTGTTTCAAAACAGTAAAAAGTATCACACCAATAATATCGTCCGTGTAAATGCTATTTGTGCGTGAAAAATGCAAAAAAAGTCACTTTGTAATACTTTGTAGTCATCGTTGTAATACATTTTACTGTATTGAAACACTAATATTTGTGTTAAGTGAAGTCTCCCGAGTAGAACAGTACCCCCCATGTACAGGTTTTATGGTGTCTTATAAAGTTATAGGGTTTAATATAGTGCAAGCAAATTAAATTCCCTTTACTTTCGGCATGGATTGTCAGGCAGGTCCCGCTAATTGTAATTAATTAAGATACCTAATTATGTAAAAATATTACATAAATATATATATGTAGAATTAATATATGTATATATATATGTATGTGTATATATATATATATATATGTTTATATATATATATATTTAAAATATTTTTATATATAGGTATATATATAGTGAAATATACGTATATATTTATGTATATAGATATATATTATTTTGTTCTACGTGTATTTTGATATAAATATATATATATATTAATATCACAATACAGTTAGAACGACATAACACACATCTATATATTTTTATTTTATTTTTTAACGTATTTACATTTTTTTTTATATTACATATAAATATATATATAACAATAATTTTATATATATATTTAATCAGTATCAGTCTACATGTAATTTGATATTAATATATATATATAATTATATATATATTAATAGTAAAATACACCTAGACAGTGTATGTGTGTGTATGTTTATGTGTATATATATACTTAGATCATATATATAATGTCCTCGCAAGGACCTCACTCTCACATGGCCGGGGGGCTGCAGGAGGCAGGATCTGCCGCGGGGGACTCCCAGGGAGTCCCCCCCAACCGCGATCACCAGCGTGGTATCGTCGGCGACCGGGTAAGTAAAAAAAAAATGGAGGGCTTAGTATTACGCCTTGCAGCGTTTAGAGACCCTTAGAATAGGGCGTAATAGTACGCCCTCCGGTGTTAAGGGGTTAAAGTCCGTCATTGTTTTGATTGTATTTATGAAAGTGATCTGAAATGAGACAGTTTTCTTTGTAGTAAATTCTGCAGTTTTAAAAGAAATTTCCATTCAAAGCTGCCAAATTGATAGTGACAGAAAGATTCTGCCACTTTGAAAATGGTGGAAATATCCTTAAATCCCGTGGGTCAGCAATCAATTGGCACATAATCAAAAATTATTGTTAGGGTGCAACAGAATAAGACAAAAGGTATGCATGATTAAGGCTCTCAGGAGCCAAAACGTCGCACTTATTTTGGTGAGGTGGTGAACCCACAAATAAATTCACCTTCCACATCCTGGAGTGCTGCCTGTGTTTTTCTTCTTTGATAAGACAAAAAGTTGTCAGTGTGCACGTTGATACATCTTTCCCCAATGTAACACTTCATTATCATGATGGAGGACGCAATACAATTCTTAAAGTTAATATATCAATAAGTGGTCCATTTATAAACCTGGGAGACTGGGTAGGGATGTGAAAGCAAATGGGGAAACTCTACTTTTAAGAATAAAAACAAACAAACATGTTTTATATTTTATATTAGCCCACACTCATTGAGCTATAGGTAATAAGTAAGCATTTTATTGTAACAATGTAAATTGTTAGGTTTCTGCGTCTCCTAAGTGTCCAGGCCCTTTATCAGCTGTTTGGTGCTCCCAGTGTGGGCGATAACAATGTACGGCCTCTTATCTGTGGCTCTTTTTTAAAACCTGACTAGCAAGCAATCTGAGTGAGCAGTTTATTGCGAAGACAGATGCAATATGCAGTGTAAGCCAGTGTCACGGACTGATAAACACCAGTAGCTGGAAATTGACGGACTAACCTAAGAAATTAGACTTTATTTACTAGTGCACTTATCTTCACACTGTGCTACTTGTTAAATTAACAGTGCACTCAACGCACCATCAAGCTTATAGTAATTGTTATGTTGTCTTTCGGCAATAATGAGAGATCTTTTCTTCTCCCAAACAGAACTGTTGACCAATGCAGAATAAAATGTCTGCATAACTCTGTCCAAGCTCGTAACGCACTAATAGTTTGATAGAACTGGGCTTACCTATCCCTGGGCTCTAAGCCCACTATTCACGTATAATGTTGAACGGCTAACGCAGAAGTGCAAGGTCAAGTATACAGCACTGAAGGGTGTTTAAGTACATTTTCGTGGCAGGCAGATATGCAAAGTAGATGGGGAAAAAAAGAAAATAAAAAAACCTTGAAAAAAAACATAATTCATAGGACTTTAATATTTTTTAATACGATTTTCAACTGGTTTAATATTTTAAGATAAACTTTTAAAATGATTCAATATTTAAAAAAAAAAATTTCAATAGATTTTGATATACAGATATATTTTTTTATACGATATATATTTTTTTCTATTTTAATATAAAAAAAAAAAATTGAAAATGATAATTTTAAAAAGTTTATCCAAAAAATGTCTTATAATTTGAAAAGCTTATTCAACAATATTAAGATGAAGCCTTAGTCAGCTATCAGATGGTGCAACAAGTTAATGTAACAGTTTTGATTTACAGAGGTATTTATTTACGGCAGTACACAGCAGTGAAATGCTTACTGGGATTACAGTCAAAACAGTGTTAAACATTAAGCAACCTTAGACAGCTGTCTCGGGTCCAAGGATTAGACAGGGGCCCTGGTACCATGAAATTGGCCCTTTTAACCATTAGGTAAAGAATAAAAGTGGGACCCCAAACCAACAACCTCCCTGCCGGTGGAATATTCCTTCTTTGATTACATTTCCAAGAACGACTGCTAAAACACATTTATCACCAAACTGATGAGGAGGGGCTCCCGTCTTTATTTTCTGCCATTTAATGTCATCACAGGATTCCATAACAAGGCACCTACAAAGAGGTAATGGTGCAGGACATACCTAACAATCCCTAACCTTTAGTGTTTAGCGATGCTCAATGCCACCTGTTCCTCATCATGGAATCCTGGGAATTCACACTTCCATACCTGTCTATCTGAGAGGCGGGGGTTGGGGCAGCACCATTTCAAAGGACGATGGGTAAAACAGATGCATACATGCCTATATGACAGTCTGCTCGAGGAGAGTGGCCAATCAGAGCTGTGAATATGCTGAGCGATACTGTAACACTTGAGTATGGGCTGAAATGCCCCGAGTTTCATCCAAGAGTGCGAATAAACGTGCTCTCGATGCACTTTACCCCAGTCCTCTCACTATGTCACGTGATCGGGAGGGCTGTGTCCATATCTTGTGTCACCCGACATGCGTGTTTGCAGTTTGGTGAATTCATCGCATAACAACAAATAGGACCGATGAAAAGTGTGCTCCTTTGGCAAGTTTTACAGGCGGAAACATTTTAAGGCCATTGTACGTAATTAAAACCTAATTTTGTCTTCTTGAATATATTTTTATTTAGATTTGATCTACTGTATAACGTCAACAAAGTGACCACTGACACTCCCTTTATGTTGTATAACCTTTTATTACATTGATTACCGTAGAAGCATTTCAATAATATACTGTATATTTGTTCATGTTAAAGTGCCCTTCTTTTAATAAATATGTATGTGCATATCCCTATACATTGTCTATATGAATACTAGCCAAAAAATAAGTATAAAATACATTTGTATAAAACAACAAATACTCCCTCCCCAAGCAAAAGCTGACACACATTTTCTGGAAGGGTGGAGAGAGAGAAGGGGCAGGTTTTCATTTCTAGCCATTCAGCAATTGGTTTTCGAGAACTCAAAAATTCTTAAATTCCTCTAAAGCTATACTGTGTTTTCTGGCCAGATAATACTGACCTCAAGACAATGATGTGGTTTACAAGAGGAAACGTAGTAAATGGCATTACAGGCTGTAAGCATAACTAGCGGACTCGACTTTATTACTTTTGTTTTTTGATTTGGAAATCAATTTGCTCTAGAACAATAGATTGCAGATACTTGTGTATATATATACAGAGATACGGTATGTACCCAGAGCTGTGTACAGTTACTGCCACAATGGCTCTAGCATCCTGCGACTATCAAGGATACACACAGTATGACTTCCAACAGGTAAGTGATCGATTCCTTTATGGTTGGGGGTGATAAAGTTTATAGGGACACACTGCATACTATGCCTTCCCATAACATATTTTATTTGTAATTCTGAATAGCCTTAAGCAAGCCTAGATTTGCTTTATGGTGCTACCATTTTTACTTCCACTGGTAAGGCTATTCCATGTATCTACTACTCTATGTAAGAGAAGAATTCAGAAGCAGTTTTATGCCTCAACAATCTGCTAAAAAGAGGGCACAGGGGCAAGTGCTGGATGTGTGAGATGCACTATACCAGGGGTAGGCAACCTTTGGTATTCCATATGTTGTGGACTACATCTCCCATAATTCTCTTACAGTAATTATGTAGTTTAAAACATCTAGAGTGCCGAAGGTTGCCTACACATGCACTATACCATAAGAGGCTGTAGAGATACTGTGTTTTAAAAGCTGGAAGATGGAGAATTCAGGTTCAATTCAGATATAGGTCAGATATTTTGACCATGACAAACACATTTCTCTGGTCCAGTTTCTACAATTCCCAGTTTAGTGAATGAACACCCTGTGCGTATGCTGATTTGTATGGTGTTAAAGGGCATTGTGATCAGGTTTTGTTCTTTATTTTTACAGCAGTATGGACATCATGGGGTATCACAAACAGACCCTGTTGAGACAGCAGTTTTGGAAGACGTACATTGTCCACCCATGGCCAACTGTGGACATCATGTACAAGATGAAGACTTTAACTGGGAAATTGATTTCCTCAACTCAAACTTCCCTGAATTTCTGGCGAGTACCAGTGCAACGATGCCAGTGCCTGTCACTGCATATCAGGAACAGCCCACCATAACCACACGTCCTTCTGAGAGATTTAATTACTTCCATTACCACTATAGTGAAGATCTACCCATAGCATATCCATTTGGAAAATATTCAAGCCAAATGGGCAGTAATAATCTGGCTGAACACTCTGTGATAATGAGTGACGAAACCATATCTCCAAATCACGAGCAAGCAAGCTGTGGTGCAGACGATACAAATAATCAGATCCAAGTTTTGAGTTGGCCTTACAATAAATTTAGTTTTCCAGGCATGGCCAGTCAAGCCAATTTTACTGCAAACCTTGAGCCAGTCTTACAAAGGACAATGGCCCCACATGTGTCCAATCAGACACCAAAAGCTCTCTCATCACACACAAAAATATGTTCAAAACGCTCTGACCTCCTGAAGGGAAAAATCTCTGCGGTAAAACGTCGGTCAACTAAAGGACCTACTATTTATACCTGTGAATATGTGAATTGTAGCCGGGTTTACACAAAGAGTTCACACTTTAAAGCACATCTACGCTCACACACAGGTAAGTGACAAATGTTATTTTTAAATAGTGTTATATTGCAGAAAACCTGAGTGCATTATAAAATCTGTAATATCTTATTACGGTAACCTGGCTCCTGAGCGCCTTATTACCCTGTAACATCTTATTACACTAGCCCGGCTCCCGAGTGCCTTATTACCCTATAACATCTTTTATCAGTAACCCGGCTCCTGAGTGTCTTATTACCCCGTAACATCTTACTACAGTAACCCGGCTCCTGAGCGCCTTATTACCCCGTAACATCTTATTACAGTAACTAGGCTCCTGAGTGCCTTATTACCCTGTAACATCTTATTACAGTAACCCAGCTCCTGAGTGCCTTATTACCCTATAACATCTTTTATCAGTAACCCGGCTCCTGAGTGCCTTATTACCCCGTAACATCTTACTACAGTAACCCGGCTCCTGAGCGCCTTATTACCCCGTAACATCTTATTACAGTAACCCAGCTCCTGAGTGCCTTATTACCCTATAACATCTTATTACAGTAACCCGGCTCCTGAGTGCCTTATTACCCTGTAACATCTTATTACAGTAACCCGGCTCCTGAGCGCCTTATTACCCTGTAACATCTTATTACAGTAACCCGGCTCCTGAGTGCCTTATTACCCTGTAACATCTTATTACAGTAACCCGGCTCCTGAGTGCCTTATTACCCTGTAACATCTTATTACAGTAACCCGGCTCCTGAGTGCCTTATTACCCTGTAACATCTTATTACAGCAACCCTGCTCCCGAGTGCCTTATTACCCTGTAAAATCTTATTACGGTAACCCGGCGCCTTATTACCCTGTAACATCTTATTAGGGTAACCCGGCTCCTGAGCGCCTTATTACCCTGTAACATCTTATTACAGTAACTCGGCTCCTAAGTGCCTTATTATCATGTTAAAAATGCATCTATTCCAGGTGAGAAGCCATATGTATGTGACTGGCAAGGCTGTGAATGGAAATTTTCACGTTCTGATGAACTCACTCGCCATTTCAGAAAACACACCGGTCAACGTCCTTTCCAATGCCACAACTGTCAAAGAACCTTTGCCCGATCTGACCACCTGGCTCTGCATTTAAAACGTCATCAAAGTACGTCAATGAGTTTGGGAAAAAGTTGGGCAGTTGATAGTTATACAATGCTTTATGCTTCATGGTTTCTTCAAATTTGTTTTGCAGATCCTTGATAATCCAGTTTCCAAATAATAAAGTGAACTGTTTTCAAGAAATGGGTTCAAAACTGTAGTATACAGTGGATTTGAAGCCATGATGTTGTCTTACCACAACGAGACTGCAGATTTTAGAAGCCGTATGGTTCTGTATACGCATTCAGTGTGGAAAAGCTAAACAAAAAAAGTTGAAACTATTTCTGCTCATAAGGTTGGGTTTCTGGCCACTCCGCTCCTCCAGTTTTGTGACATGTTTTAAGGAGCTAATATGTTGTATATATATAGTCTATATGGGTATCTGGTACTGGTCAGGCTCTTATTACCGCAGGAAAACACAGTGAATTTAGTTTACTGTAGAGACGCACTTTCTGGGTTTGACATTCCTAATGGAAGGAAATGTAGGTTAGGTATCTTTGACCTGTGAAGCATTGGGCTAAGGAATAGGTGGGAAGGATTACTGTTTTATATTCTTTTTTCCTCTCTCTTTATTTCTTTCTCCTTACCTTTCAGACAGAAGTTCAGCTCAGAGCAAATCCTGGTAGCGTAGTTAAATAATATTAATGGATTTAGTCAAGCTATGGATGCTGTACACCAAGTCATGTGGATAGTCTGTGTCACCCTGTTAGATGATCTGGAACGGCGAAAAAGGGTCGATCACAAACTCTTACAGAACTAGAATCCACTGAACTTTTGCAGCTACTTTGTATTTTGCATGATCTTTTCTGGGTTTTTAGTTCTGAGTTTTTAAAATGTTTGCCATATTTCTTAGAATTAGCTTTTTGTAAATCCAATAAGTGGCTTATAATAAAATAAAAGGCAATTTTTTTTTTTTTTGGCTCAGCTATTTTGTTTTAAAACTTTGCTTTTGTCTTGGTTTGTTATTCTATTGCCACTTCAACGCAATGCACTATTTAGGAAATAAACCCGAATGTGTCTAATATATTGGTCTAAATTGAGCTATGCTGCTGTGTGGCCACTTTACTTGTAAAAAAATAAATCAATCTGTGATTATACATTGTTTGTAATGCAATCCAACACAAATGAATACTTTATTATACCCACAAAATTTTTATCTGTATTTTAGTGTTCAAAACTAAGTAAGTTAGATTTTTTGTTTAACCCCTTCAGGACCAAGGACGGTTCAGGACCGTCATCGGCATTTTTCCATTGCTGACTGGTGACGGTCCTGAACCGTCCTAACGGTACAATGTACTTACCCGATCGCTGACGTTCCCCCGGCGGCGATCAGTGTTGCTCCCGTTGTGGGGAGACTGCCTGCAGCCCAGACAGTCTCCCCATGGCGGATTAGGACCCCTGTGGCCATGTCATCGCTCATCAGAGCCATCACATGGTCACAATAGGTGTCCAAGTGTCTGCCTGCAGGGGGACTGCTATTGCTGACGGGCAGTCTCCCTGCATGTGTAAAATCATTTAAAAAAAATAACTGTTAATGTTAATAAAAAAATAAATAATTATATGTGTATATAAATATGATATATAGACATATATTACATATATATATTTCTATATATCAAATATATAATGTCATACTAAGTGTATTTTTATATTAATATGTACATATATTAATATAAAAATACAGTTATTAAATTACAAATGTATATTTATATATATATAATATATAACTATATATATTGTATATAAATATTATTATAAAATACCAATAATAAGTAATTTAAATTAAATAAAAACATGTAAAAATAATAAAAGTTAATACTAACTGTATTTTGATAGTAATATATATATTTATATCAAAATACACTTAGAATGAAATTGTATATATATCTATGTATATTTAAATAAAAATAATACGAAATATACATATCTCCATATACAAAATTACATAAATATACACGTAGACTTCAAATATAAAAATATGCATATATATTTAAATTCTACGTGTGTTTATGTAATATTTTTAAATAATTAAGTAATTTTATTGATTGCAATTTGAGGGACCTGCCTGCTAACCCAGGCCGAAATTCCAGAGAATTTAATTTGCTAGCACTATATTTTACCCTGTAACTTTCTATGACACCCTAAAACCTGTACATGGGGGGTACTGTTTTACTCAAGAGAACACAAATATTAGTAATTCAAAACAGTAAAAGATATCACAGCGATGATATTGTCAGTGAAAGTGACTTTTTTTTTTGCATTTTTCACACACAAACAGCACTTTTACTGATGATATAATTGTTGTGATACGTTTTCCTGTTTTGAAACAGTAATATTTGTGTTCAGCAAAGTCTCCAGAGTATAGTCTCCCATGTACAGGTTTTATAGCGTTTTTGAAAGTTACAGGGTCAAATAATTTTACATTGAAAAGCCAGGTTGGTTACGTTGCCTTTGAGAGCGTATGGTAGCCCAGGAATGAGAATTACCCCCATGATGGCATACCATTTGCAAAAGAAGACAACCCAAAGTATTGCAAATGGGGTATGTCTAGTCTTTTTTAGTAGCCACTTAGTCACAAACACTGGCCAAAATTAGCGGTTTTTACTTTTTCACACACAAATATGAATGTTAACTTTGGCCAGTGTTTTCTACTAAGTGGCTAAAAAAAGACTGGACATACCCCATATTGAATAACCTGGGTTGTCTACTTTAAAAAAAAATATGTACATGTGGGGTGTTATTCAGAGATTTATGACAGATAATAGTGTTACAATGTCACTATTGATAAATTAAAAAAATGTATGTTTTGAAACTGCAATATCCTACTCAGGACACAATTTTGAATCTATTTAGCAGTTTTTTTCATTCGCTTTTGTAGATAAGTAAAAGAGTTTTCAAGTAAAAGTAAAAAAAATATGTGTTTTTTTTAATTTTTCATCATATTTTTTTTTAAGTTAAATTACATGAGATTATATAAATAATGGTATGTAAAGAAAGCCACTTTTGTCCTGAAAAAACAATATATAATTTGTAAGGGAACAGTAAATGAGAGAGAGCGGAAAATTACAGCTAAACACAAACACCACAAAAGTGTAACAAGAGGCCTGGTCGCAAATGTACAACATCGCAAAAACAGTCCAGTCCTTAAGGGGTTAAAGTTTTATTGTAAGCAGTAATAAAACTAACATTATAATGTACCAGACATTAAATTCCAGTATATAAACACAGAGCAATAAACATTCAAATTCTCACAATATAATGACTCAGAGGTAATGGACCAATTGATAAAGAAAGGATAGGTAAACAAGGACATTATTTGTCTTTGTGTATTTATAAAATGTTGAAAATTTAAAATGTTTCCTGCTTTCCCAAATTTCATAAATCTCAATGTTCCCAAATTCAGCAAAACAGTCCCAAATTTGGGTACCTGTAGCACTGTACTGAACCGGATCTCTGCTGACCCCTTCTGGAGACACCTGACAAGCTTGCAATGTGTTAACAGATTTCATGGCATTTGGCCATACATTGCGACAGTGCTCTGCCACATTGACAGGATTTTATTTACTAAAATTGAGAGCTGTCAGGAATTCAAAATTAATTTCAAATATAAAGCCAAAATAGACTAATTAAAAAAAAATCTCAATGTCAAATACCCTTGCAGTTCTGTGAATTCCTGACAATTCTCCAACATATTCCACAGCACTGTATAATTTTGGTATGAGTTGGAAAGCCGACTAAGAGTAAGCCCAATTTTTAAGGCATCAATTTATTATTTTTGGATAAGCTTTTTAATGATTTCAAATTTAGAAAAGTGTTTTAATACTGTAATATTTAAAAAATGTTGTTATAAATGGTATATTTTTTTGATATTTTAATATTTTGCAAAAAAAAAAAAAAAAATAATAAAATAAAAAGTTTTCCCCCCAAAAATGAAATCATTAGAAAAGGTCATCTAAAAAAATAAATCAAAGACCAAGGCTCTATAACAGCGAATATTTGCAGCAATGTTCCGACTTCTGTGTGAAGAATTCCAAGAAGAATGGTGACTGGTATTAGAGAAAACAGGGGACACACCCCATATTAAAAGAGCACTATATCGTTAAGCATTCAAATGTGTATTCCTAACGCTACAGTACCCAGTCTAGATCCCTGGCCCCTTCTTGTAGGGAGAAAAAAATAAATAAAAGTTTCACTTACCTCCATGGCTGACATCATCAAGATTCCATAGGAAAGCATTGGGATAATTGCTGCACTGCACTAATCAAATGGTCTCTCTGCTATTTCAGCTAAAGCGCCAATAGAGGCATTTAAAATTGCAATGAAAACTTGGAAGTCCTGCAGAACACCAATGTTTTCACTTCACTAAGATAAGGAGGCCTGGGTGCTACAATTTTAAATTATATTTTCAAGAAGTAGGTACCCACATATTTATATCCATATAAAATATTTAAATAAATAAATGTATCTATTAAAATGCGTGTACACAAATTAATAGGTAATAACACTCAAAGGAAAATTGACATTACATGTTAATACAATAGAAAATATAGAAAAATGATAGCAATTGTGTTTAATTTTGAAATAAATACATACATATAGGGACATCGTTCATTTTTTAGTTGCATCTCTTGGCTTACACTTCTTCTATGGAAGCAGTCAGCATTGATTTCAGACCTCTTTGGTTGGAAGCACTATCTATCTGATCAAACTCCATGCATGTGTCCCGCGCCTCATGCATTTGAAATTCATGCTATGAGCAAGATTTTAGCCATTCAAATTGTGGATGGTCTTCAGTTGCATAAATTATTCGTAAGATGGTCTTTGACAGCAATTTGAAGAAAGGTTACTGCATCACTTGACCATAAGTATTTTGCCTGCCCTGGACCCAAACTTGGCTGTAACTTTACACAGGCTTTACTAGTCATTGCAGGCCCAAAGTAACTAAATGGGATATAATATAATATTTTGCAAGTGATGAAATATACTTTGACCGCTGTCACATCAGTAGTGCAGTGTGTGTTTTGCCACTCCTAATGCAGGCTTACTGATGTACAATACAATCAAGAAAAAAAATTACTGACACAAGTATTTCCAGTGTGGGAACGTATTCATTTTTTCAAATTTAATTTAAATGTGAATCTCAGAATGCTTGTCTTAATGTTATACACAAGACATATGGATGCTAGCATTAGTCTATCAGGTGCCAGTTCAAGTATAGGTCCCATGTGAATAAACCGGCAGAAAAACAGCTCTTGGCTGATCTATTGCAGGTGATCCCATAGAGACTGGCAGTCAATAAAGTGCAGAGAGGGGAGGGTGCAGACTTGCTGCTAGGCGTTTGCTGTTTACATCCCAAACTGGCATGTGACATCTCCACAGGGAATGTGAGGATAGGGGAGCTATAGAACATAAAATCTGTAAGTAAAGTGAGAGGTTTATCTTTGCCACTGCACGCTCATTTAAATAAATTTGAGTTGAATATTAACAATCCTTTAGTACAGTAGGATTCTCAAAATAAAATCTTTAGGTAGCTTCAAAGTCCTCAAGCTCAGCTCAAAACTAATTGGGGTTTAAAATAGTGGGGTCTCCGGCTCGCACACTGAAAAGGTCAATGTCCTTGATATTTTCACTGAGGAACCATCACTTTCGGAGCAACAAATTGAAAAGGGTTTTCTGAGTCGTCAGTGAGTAGGAAAAGGACTCTCACCTGGACAGAGACCAGGATGCACTAGTTGCCCGTGCCGCCACTTACCCTATTGCGACTGCAGAATTTACAAATCTCTATTAGCAATACTAATAATGTTCTTTGATAGGCTGAGGCACTGAATTCATTGACCTCAGAGGAATTACTACAATTAAAACGTGCTACCTTCAAGTTATACCCAAAATTCGAAAGTAGGAATAATAACCGACTGAGCTATCAGTGCTGCTGTCAATAATGTTAGTTCTCTTGCCCTTTAATAGTTATGACAAGGCTGCTTTGCTGACTATGAATTGAAGATGTTTCTTGGAAGCCTGATTACCCTCCAGGCTTCAGAGCTGCATTAATTGCCTCCTGTGGGGCGCACATCTTAGGACTTCAAGGCAATAATAAACTTGTCTTACAGTCAAGGCATTGTACAATGAACTATACTTAAATTAGAAGATCGTAACTTAAAAAACAGAGAAACTGTGATAATATTACACTTTGCAGTTTGTTTCAGTCCAAATAAAATTTCTGCCAATTCACTAGAATCGATGGAGATCGAGAACAAATTGATTTGTTCTCTATCCATTTGTATTGATAAGGTTTGCAAATGATGCAGTTATCTACTGAACAACTGAAGTAGAAAAATTAAGAAAAAGGCTTTTCTTAATTTTAATCTCCCAGCTGCTTAGTAGATAGCTTCCTAAATTGGTATCCTTAAATATGGCAATCCCATGTAATTAAATTAGGGATGCAGAAAGATAATAATCAAATATTAATCTGAATTGAAATTGACATTCCGAAATTAGAAAATTAACAAATCTAAACAAATTTTTTCCCTCTGTGCACATATCTAGATAAGTTTAACCCATTAAGGACACATGACATGTGTGACATGTCATGATTCCCTTTTATTCCAGAGGTTTGGTCCTTAAGGGGTTAAAATGTTCGAGAAGATCTGGCAACGGTTAGGTATTACTTTTAGAAACACATTTGCTAAGTTTTAAGCAAAGTGTTTATTTTTAACTTGTACTTTGTTCCCAAGAAGAAGATATTTCTATGCCAACCCTGAATAGTGCAATCTGTCTGTAAGGACTGGGATCATATTATACCACACCACCACTAAGTAATGGAGTCACCCGAACTGGATAATGCCATGATTACAACTGCAGGGTGACATATAACCGCTTATTGACCATCAATGGGTTGGAATTAGCTGACAACTGCCATGACCTAAAACAGCTCAATAGTAAACCCATGACAGTCATCATTTTTTTGTCAATGTTTGTTTTATTCAGTAAAAGAAAATATACATATGTAATAACATTAAGGTAAAACTTTATCATCAAGTCATATGCAGAAAAGCAACTGAATATATAGCCCTTTTAACACAGAAATATATAAACAGTGCAAAAGGCACCCAATGGTAAATGAACAGGTAGTTTGTAAGGCCAAATGAAAATCCTAGATTTAGCACCAGGAACCTGTCAGGTGTTAACAACAGTGGCCTCAGAAAATTACTAAACATATGGGACACTAGACACAGAGATGAACTAATGTTCCAGGGTAATTCTGGCCACTATAAATGCTCAGTAACCATTCAGAAATAGAGGCTAGTAGAGTTATTCTGTAAGTATTTTACCAGCTCTGCTGCTTTATATGTTTGAAAAATGTATATCCTAACAGATAGTAAATAATGAATTATTGCAGTTTCTGCTGCTTTATGTGATTAAAGAATTGTGAAATAGCAAGCTTTCAGGAGTTGAATCTTTTATCAAGTCTAATGCACAATACGTGAAGAACAAAAGATCTCCAAAAATGTTTTTTTTTTTTCAAAAATTCTGTAAATTCAATATAAAATGTATGGCATTCTACTGCAACAATCCTTTGTTTTGCATCTGTATCACTGAACTAGTACAGATCCTGAAAACAAATGTAATCTGTATGAATGAACAAATGAATCTAACTATGCAGTGGTCAGTCATAGGGAAATATTAAAGAGGCTTTCTAAGCTGATCACTACTGGGCACTGCAATGGTTTTAGTACCAGGAGTCTCCAGACCCTAATCCAGGGTGAGTAGCTCAACTGATTTTTAACGGTTTACCAAGGGTCCACCAGTCACCTGCAGTCCTGTCCCCTCTTTAGATATAGCTAAAACTTTAGTTCCCGTTGCACTGTAGATATATTAATTACAATACTATCTGGAGAAAATGAATTGGATAAGTGTGACAGCTGATGCTCTCATGTAATGAATTCAGACTGAAAAGGGATGGAAATTATGTCACTAATGTGGTGAAGAAATGAAATCTGAAGATGAGATTTGACCACAGGCGACCGTGGGTAAGTGTAAAATATTTGAAAATAGTTTGACAACAAGATGTTGGGCAGCACTAGGGAACTCCTGGCTTCATAACCACTGCAGCACACTGTAGAATGTACGGTGCTTAGAGTGCCCTGTTAACCATTTCCCTTCCAGAGCAATGCACTATATTATAGTTTAGTCAAACATAAGAATTAAATATAAAAGAAAAAACATGAGCATTAAAAATAGAAAAATCACAACAGATTACAACTTGTAAAGAATACCTAACTCGGTCCTCAATTTAATCAGTTTGAATCAGCATCAGAAATTATTGCAATTAGTTATAAAAAAAATATCTTATTATTTATCTACAGGAGTCCCCAAAACATCTATGGGAATTTCTGTAAGAAATCATTTGAATTATTTTTTCTAACAGATTAAAATGATTTATGATGTTGATTCAAGCAATTTAAATGTCTGCCTCTATGTCTATATTTACAATTTTTTATTGGTGTACAGTCCTCCTAGTACTAAAAAAAAAGCTCTGTATAATGATGCTGAGTACATTTACAATGAAGGATGAAGCTGCTTTGAGGTGATGATAGGTGATACATTTTTAGAATATCCATGAAAATGGTGGTATGTTTGACCAGATCAATGTTGTATATGAGATTTAGCGCAAACCACAGATAAGAGGGATGTTTACTGATGAGTGCCTGCTAACTGTATCTGATAAAGGTTAACAGCACAGAGGATTGTATGCATACTCTTTACCATTATACATTTTGCACATTCGCGATAATTGGAGGGAGGCCGGTCCACACTGAAGTCATACTATTTGTTGCCAATCATAGAGTAGAGAGCCATGGAGACTATCATGGCTGCAATCTGTATTGGGGAAAAAAAGACACACATGGTACAATAATAACGAAACAAAACTCCAGTTAAATAAGACAAAATGATTGTCGATAATATTGTCTTTAATTTATCTCCCTAGTATATCACATGGGGACCAGAGTCCAGTTCAAAATCCTAGTCATAGCAAGGTTTTACGGCCATTTGCAGAAACTTGATGCCAGACTAATCACTGCTCTACCATCATCCTACAATCACTGAGCTTTACAGACACTTCAAGCACCTAAACAACTTGTTATAATTAATTATAAACTGCCAACACATTCAGCAGCGCTGTAAAAAGTTGGACTAACAAACGTGGTTGGAGCAAGACAAGGTGAACGTACAAGAACAGAAGTCGCTGAGGGCCCTGCCCTGTTTTGTGCAAAGACTCTGTCCCTTTTTTCCCCCAACAATGTTAAACATTACCATGTTGGTTTTATCCAAGTGAGGTATAATGTTAAGTAAAATGTATATATTAGATTTCCTTTATTGGTGAAGCTGAAGCATATTTAATGAGCATTTGTGAACGAAGCATTTACCCACATAAGTAACATTGCCACGCTATCAATGCAAACAAATACAGGTGCATGGTCAGTCATTCAGATGGGGGGGAATGGTAGCAGAACAACAGAGCTCTTAATAAACCCTGTGGCAGCAATCAGGACACTCAAAGAACAAGGTTGTTAAATCAGGATATACAGTTTATGAAGCATTGAAATGTTTTACTGGTTATGTTTATTGCTCACCTCTAGAGCACAGATTCCCAAAGCAACACCTCCAACAACTTTGCCATTCTTATTAAGGAAAAGCTCAAATGTTTCAAAGCAACCCTAATGGGAAAGACAGAAAACATAAACAGGCTTATTTACGAAAATTAGAATTGCTGTGAAATCAAAGTGATTTTTAAAATTCAGGATGAAATAGCCGATTTAGAGAAATACTCCAAGTCAATTGTTTTCAGTTTGGCTGTTTTGGCCTTAAATTTAAAATTCACTTGAAATTCCGAGCACTTATTTTTCAATTTTTAGTTGTTATTGAATTTTTTTGCATAGACAAAGGGTAAACAATAGGGTACAGAAGGAAAAAGAGGGGGGGTGAATGACTGATTACAATTCGTTCAACACAATTCCGCATTTAGTCAACTTAGTCGCCTTATACAATGGGTAGATTACACATTTTGTGCTACATATCGAAGTAGGAACATCGGGATGGTTATGTTCATGGTATTGACGGTAATGTCAGCTGTTTTCCCTTCTGCAACTGGGACTCAGTTAAGGTGATTATATGTGGCTTGTGTGTCGCACTCAGGAATTGCATGTTCGTAGTTGAGTTGGAGGGGGTAGCGTGGGGGGGGGGGGAGGACACATCGGGAGAAGAAGAACTGGAGAACTGGTATACCTAATTTACAACATCGGGTGTGCATTGTGTTGTAGGGAGTTGCAGAATGGGCGCATAATAGTAACTTATCCGTCCTATCATCTATGATGTAATGGATCTCGAGTGTGACAATTGAGTAGTGAAGCTCACTGCATTGTAGTGTATTGTGTTGTGACTTGTGCTGCCCGTCTTCTAGAGTATTTGTTTGAGATTTTTCACTGTGTTATGGTGTGTATGCCAACTTGCCCATCTTTTAGTATATGTCTCTGCTTGGCCGTCTAATCTGTATGCCATACCTTCATAATTTAGACATTATCGATTCTATTCCACACTTCCTGGGGGGAGGGTGTGTGTGGTTTTCCAGTGGCTGGCTATACTAGTCTTTGTTGCTGTTAGCAGGTGTATAATGACGTGTCTGTTGTTGTCTAGCAGCAGTTCTGGTGTGAACGGTATTTTGCGTATTGTTAAAATTTCAATAGCTTTTTCTATCGTTCGCCAAAGTTTGCTCAATAGTGGGCAATCCCAGAATATGTGCCTCATGCTTCCCTTGTGGAGAGTACATCTCCAACATACATTTGAAGCTGATGGGTACATGTTCGCTAGTTTGGTAGGTACGTAGTACCACCTCATCAGTATTTTACAGTATGCCTCCCAAAGGGTCAGGCTATGGGACATTTTTCTTGTGGTCTGAATTGTTTGCAGCCATACTGGAGTGGGGATGTTGATGTTTAGTTCTGATTCCCATTGTTCTATGTATTTGTGTTTGCATAATGGATCAGCGTCGTTCAGTGCTGTGTAGCAGAGGGATAGTGGTTTTAGTTGCGGTCGTTTGCCTATACAGTATAACTCAAAATTTGTTAGTTGTGTTTCATTGCATTGGTGAGTTTGTAGGGATTGGAGGATGTGTTTGGTTCTGATGTATGTGAAAACGTCCCTAGAGGGGAGTGCATATTCCTGTTGAAGGATTGGGAATGGTTTGAGGCCCACCTCTGAATATAATTGTGCCACCGAGATTATTCCCTGATGTCGCCATGGTTCCATATTGATATCTTCCGATAGTTCTGAGATTATTTGTATCGGGGCAAAGTATATAGTGTTGTTCGTGCCGGTGAGTGAACTTGCCCATTTCCTCCAGCTACTGATTAAGAATCTTGTACTAGCCATGGGTTTGTGTTTGTTAGGTTCCCATGAGTTAAAAGACTGCAGCACAGAGTTTATTGTGTGTGGTCGTATGCAGGCATTTTCTAGGGGGGCCCAGATTTGGGGGGTAGTGCGTGATAGTGTGTCCAGCCCTTGTTCCAGGACTGCTGCTCTATAGTATGCCCTAATGTTTGGCATGCCGAGGCCGCCTTTGGTTGGTGACAGCCAGGTGAGACGTCTGGCTATTCTTGGGGTTTTTTTCTTCCATATGTGTGCATTGAGCATGTTTTGGAATCTTTGGAGCAGTTTGTCTCCTAATGTTATGGGTATGGTGCGGAACAGGTACAGGATATGGGGTAATGCCATCATTTTAACAGTGTTTACTCTCCCTAACCATGATATTTGACCGCTTGAACTGGGAATACATGAAGTCTACACTACTTAAAATGGGATTCACAACACAAACCCTGAGGGGCATTATGGCCCTATACCATTCCCCCTCGGCAAGAATCTTTAACTCGGGATTCATATCAGATAAATTTCATATTAGCAACGGCATGCGCCAAGGTTGCCCACTGTCACCACTTTTGTTTATTTATTGCACACAAGGCAATAAATTTGTATTTGCATCTACTACTGTGGACCTTGAGTTCTTCCAACAGGAATCTATCGAGAGCCTGAATAGGCACCCAAGAGTGATGTACATAGAGCCTATGAGGCTCCACCTTTGTGAGTTTAATCCGCAAATATTATAATTTGTTTATTTTAATTTATATGGAAAGCACTATGTATGTTCCATTTGTTTTTCAGATGTAACCAACATATTTACGTCTACAATAGGTGGTATACCTATTTATGTATATATTTTGTATATACTTTTCCTGGGTGTGTGTGAATCTATCTATTTAATCTTTCTACTTTGTCTTTAGGTGTTAAGGGATTACACCTTTTTTCACACTCACTCATATTGTTTGTATTTAAGGTTGGAAGCGCCTACACAACTATATACTTTTTGTATATTTTGTCTTATTAATCGAGGGATATTGCTAGTTGGTATTGCTAACATAGCTAGTGTGTAGTAAGGCCGTGTATATTTTTAAGCTATCCCTATTGGCATCGTTAGCGTGGGTATTGTAAACTAAGGCTTAATACATCGCTATTGTGCTTTACATTGATATTAAATGCATGTCTAACACTGTATGGTATAATACTGTGCTCATAACAATTATTGATACTCAAGTGAATGGAGCAACTCTGGTACAGCATGGTGATGTCAGAATGTTAGTCCTCATGGCATATCGTTGGCCTTGATGGTGATCCCACCATTGTCCATTCCGTTCTCATTTTCTTTGGTTGTGAATTCTGGGGAGAATTTTGTCCCAGGCTGTGATGGAGGCCCCATTCTTTGATTTTCGCCATACCAGCTTCTGGTTCTAGGATTACCTCCGTTTTACCTCTGTGCCATATCAGTAGCTTGGTCTGGGTCTTGGTTATGTTGATGAATTCTCTTCTTCTTGCCATGGTTGCTGCTGACAGATCGGCATATATGCTGATGCCTTGGTATGGGTCTGGTAGTGGCTCCAATTTTCTCGTCGCGTTTAGGATTGTTTCCTTGGATTTATAGTAGTGGAAGCGAACTATCACATCTCTCGGTGTGTCCGCTGTGAATCTTGCCGGCCTGGGTAATCTGTGTACCCTGTCGAATGTCCAAGAGGCAGCCTCGAGGTGCGGTACCAGGATGGTGCATAGGGCCTGTAAGTGTTGTGGAAGAGCTTCTGCGGATATTGCGTCTGGTATTCCCTGAAATCGGAGATTATTCCTGCGGGATCTGTCTTCCATATCTGCCAATATCAATTTTAAGGCAGCCTGGTCGCTTTCTAACCTCTGTAGTTGATCCACCATATCGTTATGTGCCGAGCAGATTTCTTCCGCTTTGTTTTCTAAGCGACTTGTGCGCTCACCTAGTTCCTGGATGGCTCTCCGGATTTCTTTGGTGATTTGTTTGAAGTCCGCTCTTAGAGATTCTTTTAAATCTTGTAGCATGGTGTGGAGACTGTGATTGGTGACAAGTGCTTCTCCCTGAGGGGTTTGCACTGTATCCTCGTCCGTTAGAGTGCCCGGGTCTGGGAATTGCATGGCTGTGTCGTCGCCATCTTGTTTTTGCCGCGGGCGTTCTTTCTTGTTGGGACGGATCGATTCCGCTAGTTTGAGCTGTTTGGAGGGTGAGTGCTCCCAGTAGTTATATTTTTGTGCGTTGTTGGCTCAATAATTGTTGCTTTAGGCTCGGCGGTTCATGGAGCTCGCTTGACTTGCGACTACTCCATGCGGTCGTTGGCCACGCCCCCCCGAAATTCCGAGCACTTAAAATATAGCCTGGTATTAATTGAGGACTGGCTGTAGGGATATGGCCTGGTACTGACTGAGGACTGGTTTTAGGGATATGGCCTGGTATTAATTGAGGACTGGTTATAGGAATATGGCCTGGTATTAATTGAGGACTGGTTGTAGGAAAATGGCCTGGTATTCATTGAGGACTTGTTGTAGGGATATGGCCTGGTATTCATTGAGGATTGGTTGTATGGATATGGCCTGGTATTCATTGAGGACTGGTTGTAGGGATATGGCCTGGTATTCATTGAGGACTGGTTGTATGGATATGGCCTGGTATTCATTGAGGACTGGTTGTATGGGTATGGCCCGGTATTCATTGAGGACTGGTTGTATGGATATGGCCTGGTATTCATTGAGGACTGGTTGTAGGGATATAGCCTGGTTATTAATTGAGGACTGGTTGTAGGGATATAGCCTGGTATTAATTGAGGACTGGTTGTAGGGATATAGCCTGGTATTAATTGAGGACTGGTTGCAGGGATATGGCCTGATATTAATTGAGGACTGGTTGTAGGGATATGGCCTGGTATTAATTGAGGACTGGTTGTAGGGATATAGCATGGTATTATTGTACATTGTACAGCGCTATGGAATTTTGCTGGCGCTATATAAATAATAAAATAATAATATTTAATTGAGGACTGGTTGTAGGGATATGGCCTGGTATTAATTGAGGACTGGCTGTAGGGATATGGCCTGGTATTAATTGAGGACTGGTTGCAGGGATATGGCCTGATATTAATTGAGGACTGGTTGTAGGGATATGGCCTGGTATTAATTGAGGACTGGTTGTAGGGATATGGCCTGGTATTCATTGAGGACTGGTTGTATGGATATGGCCTGGTATTCATTGAGGACTGGTTGTAGGGATATAGCTTGGTATTCATTGAGGACTAGTTGTAGGGATATAGCATGGTATTATTGTACATTGTACAGCGCTATGGAATTTTGCTGGCGCTATATAAATACTAAAATGATAATATTTAATTGGGGACTGGTTGTAGGGATATGGCCTGGTATTAATTGAGGACTGGTTGTAGGGATATGGCCTGGTATTAATTGAGGACTGGTTGTAGGGATATGGCCTGGTATTGAGGACTGGTTGTCGGGATATGGCCTGGTATTATTCAAGGACTGGTTGAAGGGATATAGCAATGTATTATTCAAGGACTGGTTGAAGGTATATACCATGGTATTATTCAAGGACTGGTTAAAGGGATATTGCATGGTATTATTCAAGGACTGGTTGTATGGATATGACCTTGTTACGGGCATACAGCATAGTAACAGCTCTAGAATAAGGTTGTAGGGATAGAGCCTCAAGACACCACGAGGACAGGTTGTAAGCATAGAACCCAGTAAGAGCTCTATTACAAGTTGTAGGGATAGAACCTAGTGGCAGGTCTAGCATAGATTCTATGCATACATCATAATGAACTAGAACAGGTTGGATGGATATCCTATGGTTAATTTTACAGATACAGTGTCCTGTCAGTTCTAGCACTGGCTGTAGGGATGCAAACTGACACAAGGTCTAGATTTGTTTTAAGAATACAGCCAGGTATAAGGCCAACAGCTAATTTTAAAGGGACTCTCCATGGATTAGTTAATACCACTTTAACACATTACACAGACAATATATAAAAAAAACATTCATTTTCCCATGATCTTCTGTTTTAATAGAGACAAGTGACTCAGCCATCCCTGGTAAACACACAAATTTTAGCGAGAGCGCAATATGAATCCAATCATGTAAAATGTAGCAACCTATATGTCTAAACAGAGATGAACGACACACTTTTTAAACTGGCACCATCACGCCCTCCTGCAATATAAGTATTTCCTAAAGATGAAATCTTTTTGAAATATCATTACTGACAGTGTTGGAATTTTACTGAAATTCCAACCCAATTAAAAGATATACAGAGACAAAGTAGGGACTATTTTGTCTAAGTATTTTTCCTCCACCTGACACTACTAGACACTGGGTGGAGTTACTGCTGTCTAGAAGAGTCAATCCCCCAGCTGTCATCAGTGACGGCTGCAGGGAACTGACTCTGTCTATGAAGTATTCTGTGGTTTTGTGGGACGCTCCACAGACCTCAAGGCTATACTCTTGCGAGTTCACAAAAGTACTGCAGTGATGGTTGCTCCTGACAAGCCGGAAGAAGATGGAGGCGTTTACAAGGGACAGGATCAGGTAAGTTAAATTCAAACTTGCCTGCCTCCCCCCAAATAAAGCAAAGTCTCCAGATGGTGACAGTGCTGCTTTAAGAAGGAAATATGAATGAGAATCACTTGCTGAAGAAGTGTCTAAGCCCCTTTCAGCTCCTGCTCACAGGCACAAATGTTTATCATTATTCTTTTTGTTTTTCATACAGTTGTATTTTCCTATAATTTACTTTTCCTCACACATGAAAATGGAAATGAGGTATAAATGGTTGATGTGTACTTCGGAAAACATGTTTCTGGTAACAAGTAAATATATCTGACCAAAGTCTGCATGATGCTCTCCTTTTGGAGTTTAACTGTCTGTATTGTCCCTAGGGATACAATCTGTGTCAATTCTAGGGCTGTTTTGATGGTTACAATATTACTATTTTCAGAAACAGAATCTATAAATCTGGACACTTAAGAGTGTTTGAGTATGTTTAAGGTCTGTATTCCATACCTTCACCTGGCTGCTGATGTTTCTTGCAGTACACGGATTAAAATAGAGGCAGCACACATCAGGATACTGATGAGAATGCTGTCTGTAATAGAAGGAGTTGTTGAAATCTTGGTAGCCATTAAATCCACAGCAGTTGAACTGCAAAGAGAAGAATGAAAAAAAAAAAAAAAAAAACAATTCTGGTGTTTAAAACTTCCTAATTTTCAGCAGAACTCATCATATGTGGCTTTAACTCCGTTCTCTGACATATCCACAATTACCATTTTCAACTTTGTTTTTCTTGGTCTGTTTGGTCGTTATCTCTACCCACATACATTTAAATAAAATAATTAATGTTGTTAATATTTATTATTTTGGCATAACCACTTGGATTTTTTTCCCCTGGCATTCATGTGGATATTACTTTTGACACATACTATATACCTAGAGATTGTTGCAGACCATGTACACTCTTTCATGGCAATGGTGTTACCTGACGACAGTGGCCACTTTTAACAGGATAATTCACACTGCGAACATTTTCCAGGAATGGTTTGAGGAGCATGACTTGGTCTCCAGATTCCCCAGATCTCAATCTGATTAAGCATCTGTGGGATGTGCTGAATAACAAATCCGATGCATAGAGACGCCACCTCGCAACTTGCAGGACATAAATGATCGGCTGTTTATATTGCGGTGTCAAATACCACAGAACATGTTTAACCCCTTAAGGACACATGACATGTCATGATTCCCTTTTATTCCAGAAGTTTGGTCCTTAAGGGGTTAAAGGGCTTGTGCAATCCATACCTCATGAGTCAGAGCTGTTTTGCAGCACAGGGGGAAACTACACAATATTAGGCAGGAGGGTTTAATGTTGTGGCTGACCAGTGTTTGTTGGACTCGTGTGAGAGAAGGCAAGGAAAGGTTAAAGGATCTTAACATGTATAGCTTGACGCAAAGACGAGACAGGGGGGATATGATAGAAACATTTAAATACATAAAGGGAATCAACACAGTAAAGGAGAAGACTATATTTAAAAGAAGAAAAACTTCCACAACAAGAGGACACAGTCTTAAATTAGAGGGGCAAAGGTTTAAAAATAATATCAGGAAGTATTACTTTACACAGAGGGTAGTGGATGAATGGAATAGCCTTCCAGCTGAAGTGGTAGAGGTTAACACAGTAAAGGAGTTTAAGCATGCGTGGGATAGGCTTAAGGCTATCCTAACTATAAGATAAGGCCAGGGACTAATGAAAGTATTTAGAAAATTGGGCAGACTAGATAGGCCGAATGGTTCTTATCTTATTCTATGTTTCTATGCACCCTATTGGTTGATTAACAAACCTGATGCTAAATATAACAGAACCTCAACGCAATCCAGCCCTTTGCCAAGCGATAGATATAGTAATATACTTGCATATTAGTGAGGATACAGGTGAAATCCAATATTAGAAGGAAGGCAGTGCACAGTCATCCCGTAAAGCAGCAAGACAACCTTACTGTGTGTCCTCTTCATGAGCGCCCAATGTCTCAGGCATGAGGGCCTGAAGTAGCATGTCATGTATCGCACGCACAGGGTTCTGCCCCTGTGATCCTCACAGGGAAAAGGCCCATGGAACCCACAAGGAGAGTTGTTGTAACGGGACGCCTCCGGTAAGCCGACCAGTTACCTCCCATTAGTTCCCTTCCTTCAGCCGATCAGGAACTCTTACATGGTTAGGGGACTTAGCTCTATGCGCACCCTGGCAGAGACGACACTCAGCCCTGGAAGCTCTTAGTCCTTACAAGGACTTTCCCCATTGCATCTCCCTGCAAGCTGAACAGCAGACACAGGGGTTAAATCTTCCTTCCCTCCAATAACAGGACGACACACAGTTTTGGAGGTTTAAGCACTGACTTCTGCCAATCTTTATTGAAAACAGGCTTCTTTTATGCACAGACCTCCGCAGGGGGTCTCCATTCCACACAATAAACTTCCCTTAGTCCCAGGCAGGAGGGGGCTGGTTTAAAGATAGCCATCTCCCGTCCTGGAAGATACCAACAGTACACAGGGATACACATGAAAACACATTACATTCAGGGGGACGGTGCACTTTGGGGCTCAGCACCCCGGGAAGGAGAGGTGTTACAGAGTTGAAACCTACGTTGCTAGAGAGCCCTAAGTCCCATCTGGGATCCCTGCAAAAAGCGGAACGATCAGATGTACAGAGCCCAAAATATCAGTGTCGAAAGTCTGGGGCTCGGGGCTCTGTACACCACAGAAATTAGTTCCATGCCGTTGCTTGGTTTAGTCAGGCAGAATTCAAACTTCGCGCCTAAATGGAGTAACAATTAATTGGCTGAAAGGGCTCAAACCAAATCTCGCCAATCAGCGCTCGGGGGAGGGGGGTTTTTCACAGCCCAATCCGAAGAAAGGGCGTGAAACTCGGCTGCACCAATCGGTATTCGGGAAGGTGAGGGGTTTCGCGGCCCAATCAGAAAAATGGGCACGAAACCTGATTGCACCAATCCGCTGAAAGGCGCGAAACCAACTTGGGCCAATCGGCGCCCAGGGACGAGAGGGGTTTCGACGCCCAATCAGAAGAAAGGGCGCAAAACCCTGTTTGAATGAGCCCTCCTTCTTTGATTGGTCGCCTGTGTCCCGCAGTGACCAATCAGCGCTCACTCGTGCCGACCAACCAGGAGAATGTCGCAAGCCCAGTTTGAATGGGCGCTTCCTCTCCTATTGGTCGGCACAGCCTTCCAGGCAGCCAGTGGGGACTCTGCAGCCGCGAGACCAATTCACAGCTCCAAAGCTTCCCTGCTGGCGCGACAGTCTCTCCGGTGGATACCCCCACGCAGGTATCCGCCGGAGAGAGCATTCTCCAGGCCATAGAAACATAGAATGCGGCAGATAAGAACTGTGACGAAAGCACCTTCGTCACTGGGATTTGGAGAAGCCTGCTTGCCAGCCTCTTGCCCTGTGACTATTGCCCCTGTGATGTATTTTAACCCCTTAAGGACTTTGGATATGTTGTTCACCCAGATCAGGGCTATCCAGGGATGTATAATTTGTGGGAATATGTTGTTGTTTTAGGGTGTTTCTGGACTTTGGATACTTAGATATTTTTTGCCTGTGGTAATTGAGTTAGTCCATTGTGTTTGGTAAATGTATCACAGGCAGGGGGGAGGGTTTGTGTACATTAGCTGGAAGTGACTGACTGTACTGTACTGTGTTGATTGGCTGCTGTGACTTTGTGTCCTGTGCTCCACAAGGTCCACGTGGGTGGTAACCTTGTGGGGAAAACTGTATAAAAGAAATGCCTTTGTGCTCAGTAAATCTGTTCTACCTTTCATAAAGTCTTGGCTCATGTTTGGGGTATTGGAGAACTACACTCTGGGGACTGCTATAATCACTATACTCCCCAGAGTATAATCACTAGCTCTTGTAAGAGCTGTTCTTGTTCCTGTTCCTGTTCTCTGGATTTAGGAGAGGTCTGCCTACTGGAAGTTGGTCCCTAGTCTTGGGCCCAGAGTAGGAGGAAGACGGCAAGACCCCAACCAAGCTGTGGCGGTTCGTGGGGTCTGCAGTGTTTATGGTGTCTAGTGGAGTGCTTGGAGCCCTCGGGAAGCACTAGGAGCATCTGTCAACGCAAGGTACCCAGTCGGGGTGCCAGGCAATCCGTTACAAGAACCATGCGGCCCAGCTAGGCTGCCCAATTTTCTAAATACTTTCATTAGTCCCTGGCCTTATCTTGTAGTTAGATAGCCTTTTGCATATCCCATGCATGCTTAAACTCCTTTACTGTGTTAACCTCTACCACTTCAGCTGGAAGACTATTCCATGCATCCACTACAGTCTCAGTAAAGTAATACTTCCTGATATTATTGTTAAACCTTCGCCCTTCTAATTTAAGACTATATCCTCTTGTAGTGGTAGTTTTTCTTCTTTTAAATATGGTCTCCTCCTTTACTGTGTTGATTTCCTTTATGTATTTAAATGTTTCTATCATATCCCCCCGTCTCGTCTTTCCTCCAAGCTATACATGTTAAGATCCTTTAACCTTTCCTGGTAAGTTTTATCCTGTAATCCATGAACCAGTCATTTATTTCACTATACCATGTCTCAGTAGCAGCGACTAAATCTACATTATCAGTTGCCATTATTGCCACAAGTTGATGGATCTTATTCCCTAAACTGCGAGCAGTGCATTCATTATCAGTATATAGATACTCAGTATTATTATACAGTGCAGTGTGTTCATTATCAGCGTATAGATACTCAGTATTATTATACAGCGCAGTGTTTATTATCTGTGTATAGATACTCAGGATCACTATACAGCGCAGTGTGTTCCTTATCAGTGTATAGATACTCAGAATTATTATACAGTGCAGTGTGTTCATTATCAGTGTATAGATACTCAGTATTATTATACAGCGCAGTGTCATCTTTATCAGTGTACAGATACTCAGAATTATTATACAGCGCAGTGTGTTCATAATCAGTGTATAGATACTCAGAATTATTATACAGTGCAGTGTGTCCATTATCAGTGTATATAGATACTCAGTATTATTATACAGCGCAGTGTGTTCATTATCAGTGTATAGATACTCGGAATTATTATACCGCGCAGTGTGTTCATTATCAGTGTATAGATACTCAGTATTATTATACAGCGCAGTGTGTTCACTATCAGAGTATAGATACTCGGAATTATTATACCGTGCAGTGTGTTCATTATCAGTGTATAGATACTCAGAATTATTATACAGCGCAGTGTGTTCATTATCAGTGTATAGATACTCAGTATTATTATACAGCGCAGTGTATTCATTATCAGTGTATAGATACTCAGAATTATTATACAGCGCTGTGTGTTCATTATCAGTGTATAGATACTCAGAATTATTATACAGTGCAGTGTGTCCATTATCAGTGTATAGAGATACTCAGTATTATTATACAGCGCAGTGTGTTCATTATCAGTGTATAGATACTCGGAATTATTATACCGCGCAGTGTGTTCATTATCAGTGTATAGATACTCAGTATTATTATACAGCGCAGTGTGTTCACTATCAGAGTATAGATACTCGGAATTATTATACCGTGCAGTGTGTTCATTATCAGTGTATAGATACTCAGAATTATTATACAGCGCAGTGTGTTCATTATCAGTGTATAGAGATACTCAGTATTATTATACAGCGCAGTGTGTTCACTATCAGTGAATAGATACTCAGTATTATTATACAGCGCAGTGTGTTCATTATCAGTGTATAGATACTCAGGATTATTTTACAGCGCAGTATCTTCATTATCAGTGTATAGAAGATACTCAGTATCATTAAAAAGTATATTATCAGTGTATAGATACTGTGACAGTAGTTGAAACCAACTAGGTGGATTTCACTGTGGATTCTGTACAGCGCCACCTGTTGATTGCAAGGATCTATCAACATTAGCATTACTAATTTGCATATTTAGGTAGAGTTGCATATTGCTAATTCTGCAAGCAGGAGAGAATGTTTGTATTAATTATGGTCTTCCCCCACCCCTTTATAAATATGTTTATAAATATGTTATTATGTAATTATAATTCCCTGTATGTTTTCTGATATTTCTATTTTATTAAGTTTGTCACAGCAAGCTTTGGTTTTATTCTGTTTTGCTTATGTTGCGAAAACCATAAAATAGTGAATGTAACTGACCGAATAACAGCTTAAAAGCATAAATGATAATGTCACTCCTGCTATATTTTTGTACCATTCATTCACAATAAAAAACAAAAAAAAAAGAATGTTGGTGGTTCCATTTGGAACTGGGTGTTCTGTGTGGATTTTTATGGATTACAGTGACAGAATCTTTGGATCTGTTTGCTGGCTGCAATATCCCTCTAGCCCTGGGATAAATCATACAATGCAGGGTGTTCGTCATACAGCACAGAGTGATATCTCTTACCTCCTTCATTGTTACATTCCACACTGTTGTAATTTCCTCCTTTAGGCCATAATCATTCTGCAGGTTTTCTACAGCAATATTTCCCAGGAAATCAATAAAGACTTTAGACTGGTAAAATAATACAGAGTATGAGCAGGTTTGGCCAACATTACAATTTCTAATACTTTCTATATCTCTATTGCATGCATTTATGTAGTGGATATGGTGCCAGGAGTTCCCTGGCCTGACTTATTAACTTGGGTGTGTATGCACCGCTTCCCGCCTCCACTACTTTAGACAGAAACTGGATGTTGTATGTCTGAGCTGAGCCTGGCATTGGAATTCCACTGACATTCTAATGCAATCCAAAGATATCATAAGACAAACTATGGATTGTTTTGTCTCATGGTCAAAGCCTGAACTGACAAAAGGAAAAGCATTGCTTTTTGTCCTGTTACCAACGTTTATGCTAAGCAGGCACCCTCTCAAACATTACAAGAGTTGGTTTTTGGAGGACCCTGCAGTACAACACTAATATGTCTCCCGGCAGACAACTGTAACGGAATGGATGCCCTAGCTACACTTTTATTCCCTTTTGTTCGGCTGTCCGTACACCCCTCGTTTGTTTACAGAACCAACTATGTGTGGGTCCCCAGATTCCTTTTGTATTTTGGTCACGTGGCCATTATTGGAGCAGGGTATGTTGAATGTATTGCTTGTCTGTGGCCCTCCCCCCCCCCCCTTTTCCTGTCCTATTGTTTACCCAGCAGGGCGTTGTTCCACTGACACTGCCAGACCAGTTTAAACTAGCTGCTTTGTCCCTCCTCAATTTCCCATTAGCCCTTGCTATTGTCTCACCCCAGCCTTCCTGAAACTATAGTACTCTATGCACTATTGTATGTAAATTAAGCTGTTGGGGGTTAATATGTGTGTGCTATGTCTAGTAAAGTGAGTTGCGGTGTTAACCTTCACCATGTGTCGGCTGGTGTTTGGGGAAAGGGATATAATCTGCTGATAGAAAGCGTGTCCAGGGCTGTAAGCACATTAGCCTGGTCCAGGGTGGAAAACGCCTTCAGTGATCCCAGAGAAGCCTCGGTGACTGGATATGAAGTGCTCCAAGGTCTCTGATAACTAAGAGGTAGCAGACTTGGCAGAGGTACTCGGTTGGAGTACTGGAGCTCCGTTACAACGACGCTCCAAGAAGAGAAGATGTTTCTTTTAACAAAGATGGTGGCGTCTATTAAAGGAGATTTAAGTAAGTATATCTACCTTCAGCTACTCTTAACAGGCTACCGGACTACAACTGTGCATGCTACCTTTGATAGTGTTTGAGAATGTACAAAGGCAAATAACGATGACAGAGCTGCTTTAAGATACTGTTTATGAAAGATTGCACGCTCTTCAGGCACGTTCTTCAGCTCTCAATGCACAGTATTTATGTCAAACACATACTGGAGAGTGAACTCTGCAGGGAAGATCCCAAAACACCATATGGTGCCTCTCCATAACCCTTACACATATGTCAGTCTATGTAAGGCCTGGGCTAGATAGTTACTTATCTCCCCACTTTATCTTCTTTCCCCATATAACCAGCATGGTATGTATCAAGTAGGATTCTTACCAGGGAGGAGAACGCCAGCACTACAACTGCCCCAGCTGTCTCAGCAACGAAAATGATGAGGATGATGAAGAAGAACTGAAGGGGCAGACAATTTAAAACTGTTATTTACATGGAATAATGGCAGGGGTTATAGAGAAAGGTTATATGGAGTAAAAGGAGGAGTTGTAGGGAGAGGTTATATGGAGTAATAGGAGGAGTTATAGGGAAAGGTCATATGGAATAATAGGAAGAGTTATAGAGACAAATTATAAGGAGTAATATGAGTTATAGAGAGAGATTACGAGGAGTAAAAGGAAGAGTTATAGAGAGAAGATTTACAGAGTAATAGGAGTTACCGGGAGATGTCTTGTGGAGTAAAAGGAGGAGTTATTTGGAGTGATTACAAAAATCAAATAATTAAAATAAATATACACTGAACAAAATTATAAACGCAACACTTTTGTTTTTGCACCCATTATTGTGGCCAGCCTAAAGCACACCTGTACAACAATCATGCTGTCTAATCAGCATCTTAATATGCCACACCTGTGAGGTGGATGGATTATCTCGGCAAAGGAGAAGTGCTCACTAACACAGATTCTTACCCATCCAATATAACCATTTTTTTTTTGTATCATGCTTTATTTAGTTAGATTTAGCACGTATTATGTATTACTCTGTATGCAGGAAATTGTTGTTTTGGTTACACTATTCCTGCATTGATACCACAAAGGATGCTAAACTATAAAAGTATTACAATTATCAACACAGAACACTGTGTTTGAAGGATTGTCTCTTACACTGAGATTCTTCAGCATTTTCCTCTTTGGATTTTGTCTGATTTTCTGTCCCGTTCACCCTATTTGTTGTATTACAGCTTTATATAGAACCTATATTTCATGCTCCTAACTTCAGCTTTTTCTCATCCTGCAGACTGCATCCTGGGTCCACAAGCAGAAGGTAAAGACTGCAGTGTTGATATGCTGAAGACCACAAATACGACTTTCTTACCTGTAGCAGGTCCTAGTATAAATGTGTATCAGGTTCACGAGCAGGATCAGGTGTGTGTATTCATTAGCAAATCATGTGAGTGTCAGAAAGAGCGAACTACGATCAGGGAAGACGAAGCACAATGACCTCTACATGTGGTGTTAGAAGACATTTTTTAAATCCTAAATTTTTTATATTTTTTATTAATAAGGTGCCATTTGTGTGAAGGTTTTTGTATGCCTATGACAGCATGTTTCAACGGAGATGAAAGGTGTAGTCTAGGCACCATGACTATTACAGTGGGCTGTAGTGGTTATGGTGCCTGGAGTCCCTTGGTCTGACCCTGTCCCACAGTAAATAGTCAAACCATTTCTAACAGTTTGGTTCTTACCTGGGTCTCCAGGTACCTGCATTCTTGTCTCAGTTTATTTATTTTTTGGCCTACTTCCACATTAATGATGTTAGCTCTGCTTGTGTTCAAACAGAATTCATTGACTTAGAGTGTCAGCTCACTGGGGTGATCTAAGTAAGCATCAGACTGTTAGAAAACTGCTTGACTGCATACCATAGGACAGCACCAGGAGACTCCTGTCCCCATAACCATTACAGCAGGCTATAGTTGCTATGGTGTTTACACTATCCCTTTGAAGTAATGATTATAAGATGCCCAAAACAGATAATAAAAATGTCATACACTTTACAACCCAGAACAGACCTCCAAACCCGTCTTAGTTTGTGGCAATTACTTGATTGTCGCCATTGTAACATAATTTATGGTTATTTACAGTAGGCTAACATTTTATTTGAAATTCAATGAATGAAATGCTATCCAAATTTAGAAGATAAAATTCTAAACTGATCCAGATTAGTTCCTAATTAAACCATCTATGCCCTGTAGAAAATGATCAGAATTGGTCTAACATTTAGGCAGATTAGCTCAAAAGTTCATTCCTAAATTATTTTTGGAAACACATTAATATGACTCTTCACAATCTCTTACCCTGATCCCAGCTCCCAGGAGAGAAATGGTGGCCTTTTATTGGGACGTGTGGAAGAAGAGGCACAGTGAATCCTCCAGTCCTGTAGTCTAACGACTATTGTACTTAGCAAAAGATAATAGTTCTAGACTCCATCCTATTCCCAAACAGAACGTGAGTTAGAGTGAAGTTATATTTAACTCAACAGGTGTGCACACTTGTACATGCCCAGTTGCTTCTTTGTAAACACAGGCTTAGCCCCAAGCAACATAATGCCCATAGCCAATCACCAAATTAAGTGCCAAGTGACGTGTAGATTGCCCACTACATAAATTAAATGGCAATGCTTACTTACCCCAAAGTTAATTCCCTCTACATTAAAGAGACTCTTTGGAGCCTGCATACACAGACTTCAACAGCCATGACCACTTCAGTGATTTGAAGTGGTCACAGGGGTAGGAGTCTATATGAGAACAGTTTAACCTCTTGAGGTAGGAGTGCCTCCAGGGGCCTCCTGGCAACATATCAACTTCATTTAGATTAAGTTGTTTTGGTGCTTGGAGTGTTAACCTGCCACCCACAAAACACGTGACCGTGTAACAAGTTTACATCTAAGCTACATACTGTGCAGGCAAAATCATTGCCAAAAGTATGTTGGTTTGTTTTTTAATAATAATATGTAAATTGTCAGACTACTGAAGTACAGTATATTTCAAAAATCTGAAACTCTGATTTGTAAGCCAAATGGCAAAATGTAGTCCAAAAAAAGTGATTTGTTAAAGATCTCCACAACTTTTCTGTTTAAATTTTGTCATTTGGATATCCATTTCCTATAATTTAGAGTTTGGGTAATAATCCTCTTTACTGAACAAGCAGGACAAGGTTATTCAATAAATTGTTATATGTAGGTTATTCACCATGAATCTAAAATTGCAGGCCAACACAGCCACACTGAAAACATTGCATACTTTTTTTGCAATGTGGCTATTTTAGATCAAAATTCAATTTGAGTCCCTGACAATAAACAGTTTAACTAAAGACATATGACACATTTCAAACACTTCTTTTCACTAACACAGATTTAGACAGATTTGAGAACAATAATTGAGAGAATTAGGCCTTTTGAGTACATAGAAAAAAGCCCTAGAACCTTGAGTTCAGCTCATGAAAAATGGGGGAAAAAACGTGTTGTATTTATAATTTTGTTCAGTCTAATATAAATACATACTATAGGTGACACTCACTATCATTAGCATGCATCGACTTTCTTTCATAGCTCCGTAGCAGCCCAGAAATCCCATGAGTACGAGGAATGCTCCAATAGCAATGCACAGATATCCCACATTCACTACCTGCAGGAGCTGAGGTGCTGCCGTTACCAGGATTTTAAGAAAGGATCCTCCATCCACCTTCACCCAGATACCAATGGCCAAAATCACTGCACCCCCCAACTGCAGAGAAGGGAAGAGAATTATAGAGCTCTGTGACTGCAATATCTGTCTTCTCGTCACACATTCTACTTCACTCTCACTGCTTGCTCGGTTTCATACATTCATATTCAAATTTTTTATTTCTCATATATTGTTTTACACATGCAAGTAATCAATTTAGGGTCTATTCACTAAATGCCATATTTTCACACTGATTTATATGTATGGTAGTCAATATTTGTATAAATAAAATTAGACCACACAATAACCACAGACAACATTTAATTACTTTTCAATGGGCTTGGCCATAACTAGAAACCACTGGACCCCGGTGCGAAAATTGTCCTGGGCCCCCCCCCATATGTCAACCCTCCCATAAGTTGCCTCCCCACGCATGCAGACACACACATAGATACACACACATATAGGCACACATACATACTGACACACACATACAAACACACACACACAGAGACAGACATCATACAAACACACATATACAGACACAAAGACAGACATACACACACACACATATATACACCGGGGCCGCAACACAGCTGCAAATCCCGAGACCGCAGTAGTTCCGCCACTGGCCGTGGTGTTTATTCAAAGCTCAAGTGGCTTAAAACCATAATTTCATAACCATAAACCTTTCCAAACTTTTAACTTTATTAACCACCAAATAGCCAGTCAGTCATAACTAACCTGACCGCCTTTTATTTAAAACCATTTACCACCATATTCTTCCTCAGAACTTGACCCTGAGGATGACTTTTCCCCTAATGCTTCATAACACCACAACAATACAATTAAGGGGAAGTTTACTCTTTAGTCCACTCTAACAGGATTGCTCTCGCACTGCAGCTTTTTATACTGTCCCAGTTTCCCGCTCTTTTACTGCTTGAAACCTTTAACCAATCCAAGGCCAGCTCCACCCCCCAGAAACAGCTGTGTCATCATTTCTGCCCAGATACCTGTCTAACTGACCAACTACCACAAAATGTAAAACTTCCTCACATTAAAATCCCAGACAAGACAGATTCATTTCCTTCATTGCCACCATACATATATGCCACAGTGCTTAGTGCCTGTGTCTTCTTATGTGACTAAATTCTCCTGTGGATACAGGATACATGAGGTTTAGAGTGATTATAGCTAAAATCTCAAACACCAGTAGGAACTTGAAGAGTAAAGTATGAATAACTTTTATTCAGCAACAGGCCAGTTTACACGCATATTCCCAACAGGGGGTCATCATACACACATTCCCACAAGATTCACACAAGATCATACACATTTTCCCAACAGGGACACACACAATACATTCTCTACCCCCGGCGCCTTTGTGAGTGGGAGATAACTAAATCACAACTAGATAACTAAATAAACTACCAGACACCAGGGTGCCTTACAACAGTATCCCCAAATTAACACATTTTCCCCGGGTTATCCCCATGCAGCAGACATCACTGGAAAGCTCTGGACATGTGGAGTAAAACTGTCCAAACGGTGCCTAGATCGGAAGTGTCTAGCCCGAGCAATCATTAGGAGAAGTTTGACCGGGCGACAACCATTCTCTGATCCAGTGTTGGGTTCAAGGCTGTTTGTTTTGAAGTCCCGGTCATTGATACTGGCTTCCTGAGTGTCCATGGCATCTCTGCCTTGGTGTCAGGTGCCGCGGCGCCTGCTGTGGCAGAGGTGTCTCCAGCCTTAGGTGTTTCTAACGTGGCGCGTGAGTCCGCCTATATGTGTTGGTCAGGTTAGGAGAAGTACTAGTACCAGAGATCCCCCAAAACCAAAATAAATATATTAAAATACAAAAAACAAATTTTGGGCTTGCGCTTGCGGAGGAGGGGATTTGTGGCAGTTTTATCCCCCCCTCGCTCCCATGGATGAGGCTCCTCCAGGCGTGGAGGAGGATGCGAAAGAGTCCACCTGTGGGGGAGCCAATCCCATCTCCCGCTGCATGGAGCGGGTGGTAAATTGGCGCCCTTGGCTCACCCGCTATAGGAATCGACGGGCTGCTGACATCCTGTTAGGCGTGTTTGTGCATGGTTTGTGGTTGCCCCCCACCTCCCCCTTCCCGGTGGGTTGGAAGCCTTCGCTCGGTTCGGAAGTCCCCTCAGATGGCTAGAGAATCTGGGCAACGAAGTATCTCTGGGTCGCGTGGGTGGTCCCTTTAAGAACCCTCCACTACCGGAGTGATGACATCCTTTTGGTACTCTGCTTGATGTCTTCTGCATCCTTTGATGCGGCGGCTGACATGGTGGGGGCCACGGGCCCGGGCGGGGCTTTGTTGGCCATGGCTGAAGTGGAATTGGCTTTCCGTTTGCTGCCAGTGCACCCGGACTGTCACCATCTTATGGGTGCGTTTGAGGACAGGTATGGCGTGGATGTGTGCCTCCCGATGGGTGTTCCATGTCCTGATTTTTCTTTGAATGCTTCAGCACGTTCTGGGACTGGGTGGTGAGGAAGGTGGCAGGGACTGGCTCTTTGCTGCACTGCTTTGTTGATTTCCTTTGCGTGGGTTCTGACGATTCGCCAAACTATGCGATACTGCGGTGGGTTTTTGGTTGAGGAGTTCCATCGGTTCGGGGTTCTGTTGGCACACTGCAAGACGGTGGGCCCGGACACCTGTCTCCACGTTCTGGGCATGGAGATTGACTCTTTGGCGGGGGAATGCCGCTTGCCTCAGGATAAGATTCAAGGCTTCCGGCGCGAGGTGGCCTTGGCCAGGGGGGGCGGCGCTAAGTTCAGCTGCGCTGCCTGCAATCTCTCCTGGGTAAGCGGAATTTTGCCTGTGGGATCCTGACCGTGGGGCAGGTCTTTAACCGGCGATGGCCGGGGTCTCCGGGCTTGCCATTTCATTCGGCTCACTCATTTGGCGGTTTGGGACTCCTTCTTGACTGCATCTAATGGCTGATCCTATGGGTTGCAATGCCGGAGGTTTCTAACGCCGACCTCCACCTCTTTCCGGACACGGCTGGTTCGGTGAGGTTTGGGGGCATTTTGGGCTCTAGTTGGTGTGCTGCCGTGTGGCCTCATAGTGGGTGTGTCTCTGGGCTCACATACAATCTGGCCTTTTTGGAGCTTTTCCCCATTTTGGTGGTGGTGGAGGTCTGGGGGTTATGTTTTTTCAGGATTGAAGGGTGTTTTCACTGCGACAATTTGGGGGTTGTGCCGGCCATTAATCGGCTGCCGGCCTCTTCCTCTTCGGTGGTTCGCTTGCTTAGGCGGTCGGTACTTCGACGTTTGTGTCTCAAGGTGTATTGTAGGGCAGAGCGTATACCGGGAGTTCACAATGTTATGGTGGATGCTCTCTCTCGTTCTCGGTGGTCGAAGTTTTGGGGGGTTGCCCCTCAGAGGAATCTGGTGGGGACGCCTTCTCCGGCAGACATCTGGTCGTTCGGTAAGGCAGAGTGATGGAATGGGTCCGTGGATCGGTTTCCAAGGTCACCTGGACGCTATGCTCCTGACAAGACTGGGTGGGGTTCCCCCTCTGGTCGGGTAACCTATTTTGAGGCCTGTCTCTTTGCATTTGCCTATTCCCTGGAATTCGTTGGGGCCATGTACATTGGGGAATTGGTGATTCATAGTAGGCCAGGCGGTGGTTGGATATTGTTTGCCACCATTCGGCGCCTTGTGGATCATATCACTATGAGTTTTTGACAATCATGGTCGGATGTTTTTGGGAAGGGTATAGGGGGTCGGCTGTTGTAATTTTTCCTTTCAGGTGCACTGTGGGCTGCGCCCGTTATGCACGGGTCCTCTTGGAGTTATGCGGATGGGATCTTTTCTTTCCCACTCCCAATTCTTTGGGTTTTTCACTCGCGTAAAATGGTTCTTGGAATTGTCAGCAAGGAATATTGTGGCATTCCTTTCGGTTTAGCGCTGCCTGGGAGGCTGTTAGGATGGGTATGTCAGCGCACAGGGCACAGTGATCCAGGAGGGGGTATGGTGAGATGGCTCAGTGAAGTAATGCTGGTTTCATAGAATTTGTTTCTGGCCACGCATTCGGCTACACTCAGGAGCTGACGTCGATGGAGGAAGAGAGGTCACCAGCGCTGAGGGAGCGGTGTATTAAAGTAAGTGGCTAAAGGGGTTTTAACTCCTTCAGCGCTGAGGGAGGGGGCACTCCAAGAGCCTATAGTGCCAGGAAAATAGGTTTGTTTTCCTGGCCCTATAGGATCCCTTTAAACATTATATCTCTCTTTATAGGAAGTGTTTAGGATGGCTGTGCAAGCCATATGCAGGGCGATGTTACTACGGCTGTATAGAGTCTAGAGGCTGTACAGTGATTTAACTCTTACTGGTAGAAAATTGAGCTGTGAGACTGCAGGGGCATGATCTGTAAACCAAAACCAATCTGCTTCACAAACGTTACGTTGTATTGGTGCCTATAGTCTCCCTTTAAATGTACATCCAATAATTTAAAACATTAAAGAGCCCATTTAGACAATTTTATTTTAGACAAACTGATATTCGTTTAGGAAATATGCCTATGTTTGTTATAAATGTCATGCAAAGTATGCATTACAGCAAACAGCACAGTCATTCATATATTTACATTTTCTTATTACAGGCAATCAATGTAATTCTAGCATTGCTTATATTGTCTATAAATTTCAACACCCATTAAAGGACCACTATAGTGCCAGGAAAACATACTCGTTTTCCTGGCACTATAGTGCCCTGAGGGTGCCCCCACCCTCAGGGACCCCCTCCCGCCCGGCTCTGGAAGGGGAAAGGGGTAAAAACTTACCTTTTTCCAGCGCTGGGCGGAGAGCTCTCCTCCTCCTCTCCGCCTCCGTTACGCCCCGCCGGCTGAATGCGCACGCGCGGCAAGAGCTGCGCGCGCATTCAGCCGGTCTCATAGGAAAGCATTTACAATGCTTTCCTATGGACGCTGGCGTGCTCTCACTGTAATTTTCACAGTGAGAAGCACGCAAGCGCCTCCAGTGGCTGTCAATGAGACAGCCACTAGAGGATTAGGGGGAAGGCTTAACCCATTCATAATTATAGCAGTTTCTATGAAACTGCTATAATTATGAAAAAATGGGTTAACCCTAGAAGGACCTGGCACCCAGACCACTTCATTAAGCTGAAGTGGTCTGGGTGCCTAGAGTGGTCCTTTAAAAACAGGATTCTAACCCCTTAAGGACCAAACTTCTGGAATAAAAGGGAAACATGACATGTCACACATGTCATGTGTCCTTAAGGGGTTAAAGGATCACTATAGTCAACATATAAAAGCAAGAAAGACAGGTCCCCTAGCCATTTTTCTTGTTTTTATATTAACTTCCCATTTAAAAAAAATAAAAATAAATTCGGAGCACTTTTTCTCATGTAAACTTACCTCCCTCCATTCCAGCGCCGAGCTCCTCAGCAAGCCACGCCCCCTTTTTCATCAAAATGACGATGCAGCAGGGCTCAGTCATAGCGACCTGGTGCACATGCGCGGCTTTGCGCTGCACCAATCGCGGTCTTCATAGAGCAGCATTGAATGCCGCCCTATGAATGAACACTGAGCGATCTACTGCGCGATATGCACGTCCTCGAACTGAGCTGACTGACAGTTCAGCTCGCTGTCTATGCCCGCCCTCCTCCAGCACAAACTTTGTGTGTTTACATAGAAACACTATGTATAGAGATATCTCTATATATAGTGTTTGTATAAAAACATTCAAATTTTAAATAAATATTGTTAAACACACACACACACACACACTATCTATTTCTATCTATCTTTCTCTACCTATCTGTAACTATCATTTAAACTTACATCCGTTCCAGCGCCGAGCTCCTCGGCAGAACGCGTCCCCCTTTTCATCAAAATGATGATGCAGCAGGGCTAAATCAGACACTTCTCTTGGAGAAGCGTCATAGCGACCTGGTGCGCATGCGCGGTTTCGCGCTGCACCAATTGTGTTCTTCATAGAGAGGAATTGAATGCCACTGTTCTCACACTCACTGTTTCTTTCACACTTACTGTCACACACTCACTGTCTCTCTCACACTCACACTGTCTCTCACATTCACTCTCTTACTCACACTGTCTCACACTCACTCTCAAATTTTAAAATAAGTGTACTTACTGTTTGAAGTCAGGAGATCTCTGCATCCTCCTGCCTGTCAGCTCGAGCCGACTCTGTGTGCAGGAGATCGTTATCTCCCACACCGTCGACTCTGATTGCAGACAGGCTTCGGATTACTACAGGAAACAGGAGGCGCATTCACAGTGCCTCCTGTCTCCCGTTATCACGTTTGATGTATTCATCCAAGTGTGAAGACGTCAAACGTGATGAATGCGAATTAGGCAGCTCTGAACTCGGAAGTCCCTCTGGTGGCAGTCTAAGTGACTGCAACTGGAGTTGTTCCTAGGTTCTAATGTAAACACTGTATTTTCTTGGAAAATACAGTGTTTACATGAGAAAGGCTGCAGGGAGCTATAGTTCTCACCTGAACAACTTCATTAAGCTGAAGATGTTCAGGTGACTATAGTGTCCCTTTAATTTAGCATGTCCCTCATCTCATTAATACCTCTGTAATTCTCAATCTTTCTCTTTGTTTTTTCCTTAAATGGCCCTTCAATCAAACATGCATGACTCTAATATATATATCTCTCCCACAGCCAGATTTTTAAACTTACCCAGTCCAGCAAAGCACCCAGAGCTCAATCACCTGTTCCACTGCCATTTGCAGGTAGCCTTCTGGAAGACCAAGGCCTTTGACACAGTAGTCCATGGCATGCTTTTGCAAAAACTTAAAAACTCAGTCATTGGTGATTGTCCGCTAACTTGGTTTCGATCGTATGTTTCAGACCGATTGCAATATGTGGCCATTTCTGATAGCGCTTCCCTTCCTCTTCCAGTCACGTGTGGTGTTCCCCAAGGCTCCATACTCGACCCCCTGCTATTCACATTATTTATAAATGCCTAACGTCTGCAAATCCTCAACTGTACACATGTATACAGACGACACTGTAATCTACGCTAGTAAACCCAAGCTACCGCAGCTTGAGGCTGTGCTACAAAACTAATTCACAGAGGTAGATAAGTGGATAGCGGATAACAAACTCTTCCTAAACACTGACAAAACCGTTACAATGATCTTTGGAACTGTACCTAAATTACATAAACTACGAAATCAACAAATTCAAATAGCACACTGACAGCAGTCTGCTCTTTTAAATATCTAGGTATGTTGCTAGACCCCAATCTATCCTTTGGCCTTCACATTGGAAAAAATCTCTTCAAATCTTTACCCAAAACTAGGTGCCCGGTTCACAGAACAGATACTGCCTAAGCCCTACAGTAAGGAAACAGATAATAAATAAATCTCTAGGCGGTTTTCCACATTATAACATTTTAGATTTAAAAAGCAAATCTGGCCTAGTTTTTAAGGCATAAATAATGCCTAGGCTCACCCTGTTGCCCAGTATATTACTAGGACCATCACAGGTTCACATAATTACCCATATTATATTATACTTACAAATATTGCGCCATTGAAAAGGAACATCATGGTTTTCAGGAGTGAAAAGCATCCCATGTTGTCTGTCTAAACAAAGAAAAAAACTTTTTTTTTAAATTGAAGCATGAAAAAGTCTTTCACAAATCCAATATATACAATGTGACCCAGCATTCCCTACTTTGTGTTCCACGGTTACTAAATAAAATAGGAATTGTCAGAATTTCAATATGAAAAAATAGCCAAATTTGAAAAATTCAGCTATCTATTCAGTTCAAATAAACTGGCCTAAAACTTATTTTTTTAATAGCGGTTTTTATTGTGAATACCAGATAAAAGTAATACAATATGTCTAATAACGTCTTCACAAATTGTGAATAATGAGCAGTTGTAGGGTTGACATTGCAAATGGCTTACTGTTACAGTCACCTTTTCTTTTCTTAGGTAACAAAACATAAAAAGAAAGGAGTAATACAAAGCAGAGGAAAAACAATGTGATAAAAAGGAGGCAGTGTCTACATCCAGTTCCCCTAGATAGTTAGTGTTCAATTTGTGCAGTCATTATCGTGTTGATATGTCACATCAGACCTCATGAAACTTAGTTAACTCTGGTTAGGGTTTGTCTGTTAGTAATGTGTGTAGGTGTAAGACAGAGAATCCTTCAATATGGTAAAGTAAACTTGGCGTAATTAAACAAAAATTGGAAAACTAAGGTAACTAAATGAACTGAGTATCTGTTCGCTCCTTCATCCCCACCTCCCCCCCATCCTCCTATTATAATCAAGGGTGCCTTTAGTTTTAACTGTTAATGTTTAACAAGTTGTTATTTGTGAAGGGTCTTGACCCGCCATTACCTCTGCCGAGAACCATGCCATGTATTTACAATTGATTTTTAATTCACTTTAAATTACTTTCAAAATGACATTAAATTCACAATTTGGTGAATAATTCAGACTCCGTAGTTGTAAAATTCATCCATTTTTCTTTCCTTATCTTAGAGATTCTACCCACCCTTGCTAATTGACTGACAAGGGGAGCAGAAGAGACCTCCCACATGTGCTGTGGTTGCTACTGAAAATGTCTAGATGACACCGCTGGCTGGGGAGTATAAACCCACAGTGATGTCAGTTAAGCCAGCGTGTCAAAGTCAAGGATAAGGTTTTGCACTACTTGAAGAAACATCCCCAATCAGTGCAAATAGAAGACAGCAGATGAATGGAGGATGGGCAGACTGGAGGTAACACCCACGAAGGCATGGACGTGGCAGAGTTCAAATATACACATTTTGCACTAAATGTATGTATCTGTTATTTATTTATTTATAAAATATTTTACCAGGAAAGATACATTGAGATAGCTCTCGTTTTCAAGTATGTCCTGGGTTATAAATGATGTATTCAATGCGTTTGGGGGGATTTTTAACATGTTCACTTAAAGCTCTGCCCTTTGCCAAAGTTAATGCTTCGCATAACAAAAAGTAAGAAATAAAGTAACAAAATGTTTTACTTCATACACAACCTGTGGCAATGTTACTTTAAATGCAAATTCAGTCATTCAAAACATTACAATGCCCATTTATGCAATTACAAACCCACATTTGAAAACAAAGGTAGATGTCCGTCTTCCTATAAATTAACCCCTAAACCTGGACGAAGGCTTTTTTGAGCTGCAATGCATTTGTGACCAAGGCCTTTTTGGCATTTCTGCCATGCGTTCATTCTAACACAATCCCCCCCCCCTGTTTGGATCCACACATTTTATGTATTATTTTTAAAAGGAGAAATGGGGCTTTCCTTTGAAAGACACCCTAGATATTTACATAACGCAATATTAAGTAGGGGTAAAGTATTAAAAAATGGGGAAATAAATTCTCAGTTTTACATTCAATAATTTCTGCACACCAAGTGCAAATAAATAAAAATAACTCAAAATGAATTCAATAACTAGGGATGCACGGAAATCGAAACAGAAACTTAAGGATGCCCTTGACCGAAAACAACTTTTCCCCCCAAATGATTTGTGTAGCTTATGTAGTGTGTGTATGGAATATAGTGAGGTGTGGGAAAGGGATGTAGTGTGTGTAGCTTATGTAGTGTGTGTATGGAATATAGTGAGGTGTGGGAAAGGGATGTAGTGTGTGTAGCTTATGTAGTGTGTGTATGGAATATAGTGAGGTGTGGGAAAGGGATGTAGTGTGTGTAGCTTATGTAGTGTGTGTATGGAATATAGTGAGGTGTGGGAAAGGGATGTAGTGTGTGTAGCTTATGTAGTGTGTGTATGGAATATAGTGAGGTGTGGGAAAGGGATGTAGTGTGTGTAGCTTATGTAGTGTGTGTATGGAATATAGTGAGGTGTGGGAAAGGGATGTAGTGTGTAGGTTATATAGTGTGTGTTAAGACCTTCAGTGGTTATGATACTGAGGTCTATTCCTTTCCCAATAGCTGAGCATAAGTGATTATAACTGCAGTTAGGGTGTAGAGGAATAGTGTAGATGAATGCAGCTTCCAAGACGATTCTCCCCAGCAAATAAAATATTCCCCAAGCATGAGCCTAGACTTCATGAAGGGTACAACAGGAATGATATTGACGCCACACTGGCTTTTATGGAAATCCTCCTGTAAGAGGACCTCCCACAGTAAACAAAAGGAACAACCAATCATAATACAGCTTTACAGTAAAACCCTCCCTTCCTCTACCTGGGAGATTCTGAGATAAGTTAAGGAATAACCCAATTATCTCAAGGCAGAGGACACACAATTTCCCCAAAACTTGGAACACCCCATTATACACAATGTATCTCCACAAATGACATGTCCCCTGATAGCTCCGATCTGGAAAACCAACATATTCAAATTTCATCCAGATCGGTTCAGGGGTTCTCAAAAAGTATGGAAGTCTTAGTTCACCGACCGCACACGAGGCTCTTGCCCAAAACAGTTCCACAAATTCAGTGTGTGCGGCCGGTCAATTCAGAGAACTGCATAAAAACGAATAAAAGCACGAATGGAGCCTCCTGGCTCATAGGAGCGATTGCTCCCCGTGTTCGTATGAACCAAACTACCGAATGGCGCTCTCCTAGTTCGGCAACAAAAGGAAGCAGGTGTTCATATGTTTCAGCGGTGGTTCGGGAAGTCGAGTGTCTGATGTTAGTTGCAGACACTCGACGACCAAGTCCCGCTGCCTCCTTTCGTGCAAACAAGATGGCCGCAGTTTTCTCTTCCACGTGGCATTCGCATATACGAACGGCGGCCGCCCAGAGAGCACTTAATAGACGGTTCCCTTTGAAGGTAATGAGCAGAGGGAGGGAGGGGGTGACTGAGTGAGGAAGGGGGTGACTGGTGGCAGAGTGAGGAAGAGGGTGACTGGTGACAGAGTGACGGGGTGACAGAGTGACGGGGTGACTGGTGACAGAATGACTGGGGACATTCACAGAGAGGGGGTGACAGAGTGACTGATGGAGGGGGTGACTGGTGACAGAGTAACAATGACTGAGGGAGGGGTGAGTGGTGACAGAGGGAGGGGGTGACTGGTGACAGTGACTGAGGGAGGGGGTGACTGATGGAGAGGGTGATTGGTGAAAGTGACTGAGGGAAGGGGTGACTGGTGACAGTGAGTGAGGGAAGGGGTGACTGGTGAGTGAGGGAGGGGGTGACTGGTAACAGTGAGGAAGGGTGTTAAAAATACCTTCTTTTTTTTTGTTTCCCTGGCAGTCTGGTGTCCTGGCTGCAGACTGTGCTGTATCTCCAGTGTCCATTCTCCCTGGTGTTCCAGTGGTCGTCTCCCCAGTCTGCAGCTCCGCCCAGTGTGAGCTGCAGACTGTGCTGTATCTCGCGAGCTCCAGAAATCAGAGCGTTGCCGTGGTAATCCGCGGAAACGCTCTGATAAACCAGAGATTGTGAGATACAGCACAGTCCGCAGCTCACACCGAGCGGAGCTGCAGACTGTACTGGCTCTCTCTCCAGGCAACCAGTCATGTACCGAGGACCTGACAAGTCACTCTGCCCTATTTTCGGCAGGTGACCCTTTTTTCGGCCGAAATTTTCGGTGCATCCCTATCAATAACTAATCCTGATTGTTAAAATGCCCAAAATGTCTAGGATTTCAACTAATTTTTAAAAGTTATAAAACAAATACTGTAATGAGTCAATTATGGTTTTAAACCTAGAACTTTGCAAAACCTGGCATGCTAAAATTACAACTTTACACCCTGTTCCAAATGTTTATGCAAATTCTATTTAAGTGTCACAAAGATTAAATATTTAGTTTTTCAGTTTAACTCATGGATGGCATTGTGTCTCAGGGCTCTTTTGATCACTGAAAACAATCTCGGACACCTGTGATAATTAGATTGCCAGGTGAGCCCAATTTAAGGAAAAACTACTAAAGGAGGGTGTTCCACATTATTAAACAGAGCACCATTTTCATGCAATATGGGGAAGAAAAAGGATCTATCTGCTGCCGAAAAGAGTGAAATAGTTCAATGCCTTGGACGAGGTATGAAAACATTAGATATTTCACAAAACTTAAGCTTGATCATCGCACTATTAAGAGATTTGTGGCTGATTCAGAGCACAGACAGGTTCGTGCAGATAAAGGCACATTGAGGAAGATTTCTGCCAGATCTCGGATCAAGAGAGCAACTGCTAAAATACCATTACATAGCAGCAAACAGATATTTGAAGCTGCTGGTGCCTCTGGAGTCCCACGGACATCAAGGTGTAGAGTCCTCCAGAGTCTTGCAACTGTGCATAAACCTTCTATTCGGCCACCACTAACCAATACTCACAAGCAGAAACGGCTGCATTGGGCAGAAAAATATACGAAGACTAATTTTCAAACAGTCCTGTTCACTGATGAGTGCCGTGCAACCCTGGATGGTCCAGATGGATGGAGTAGTGGATGGTTGGTGGACGGCCACCCTGTTCCAACAAGGCTGCGAGGTCAGCAATGCGGTGGTGGAGTCATGTTTTCGGAGGGAATCATGGGAAGCGAGCTGGTCGGCCCATTTACGGTCCCCAAAGGTGTAAAGATGACCTCTACAAAGTATGTGGAGTTTCTGACTGACCACTTTCTTCCCTGGTAAAGAAGGAAGAACTATGCATCCTCCCCTGACCTCAATCCTATAGAGAAACTTTGGAGCATCCTCAAGCAAAAGCTCTATGAGGATGGGACGCAGTTTACATCCAAACAGCAGCTCTGGGATACTATTCTGACATCTTGCAAACAAATTCAAGCAGAAACTGTCCAAAAACTCACAAGTTCAATGGATGCAAGACTTGTGAAGCTGCTATCAAATAAGGGGTCCTATGTTAAAATGTAACATGACATGTTAAAATGTTTAAAAAGTTAAAATGTTGTTATAAGTTTGATTCAAATAGCTTTTGATTTCAGTAAATATGCTGCAAACACAACAAATGACAATTTTCAGTTCTTTACAACCTATAAAGTTGTAAACTTACTGTGCGTAATAATGTGGAACAGTGCATTAAAAGTTTTTTATGTTTAAAGAAAATACTGTTATCATTAGGAGGTTTGTTCTCTCCTCATCAGCTCACTTCCCCATGGAATCTCGGAACAATGTATGTGATATGTGTGTGTTTGTTAAACACGGGTATTGAGATTTTTGAACGATCTTATTCCATCTTCCCGGGTTATCTATTATACAGTTTTTGGCATATCTCCTCATTCCTATTTATATAGAGTGATTCTATCTGCCGTACAGAAGATGTTTATTTGTTATAGGGCCTTTTTTCCCCCAGGATATGGATGTAGATGACGATCAATATGTGGAGTTGGAGTACGCCTCTAATATAGGATAATGGGGAGATTGGAGATGAGAGTTGGGTAGAACACCCCCGGTCAGATGGGTGAAGGGCCCAGGTTATTATCTGTATTTTGGCTTATTAGCATACTAAGATATTTATGTATTGTTTGATAGACTGTTGTAGGTTTCTTCTATGTTTTATGTGTAACCTGTCTCAAACCAATACCTATGTCGAGTGTGTTGTATGGAAATGATTTTTATGTATTTTGTGATAAAACTAATAAAAATTTATACAAATTAAAAAAAATTAGGAGGTCTGTTCAATAAAATATGAATTGTACTCTTAATAGCTGATAACACGAGAATTATGCTGACTGTTATTTACATCAATTATTTAGGTAAATGAGAAAAATAACATTTGCATAATAATTTGGAATAGGGTGTAATTACGAAAACAAGAAAGTACATCACACACTCTATGTAACTAAGAGCATTTTGACACTTTTCAGCTAACCATTTTATAACAAACCTATGTCAAATTTGTTAATATATTTTGGGGAAATTGACAGACCACACATGTCCCAGCTACCTGAACCACCCCATATTTGTATTTTGCTATTGTTCTCTAGTACATTGATATCCTACATGTATATATTTTACCCAATCCCTGCCCCTAACATTGCCTTTAATCCAACCTATAATCCTACCCATAATCTAAACCCTTTTCTTACCCATAATTCAACTTCTAATTCTACCAATACGCCAACTCTAATCCAGCTCACGCGGTGCAGAGGGAGCCTCTGTGAGTACTCTGGACAGTGATTGCAGCAGGAGAGCTCCCTCTCATAATGCAGCTGCAGCACACAGACGTCGGTGCAGGGCAGTTGGAAGAGTCCAGCATTGATCCTGCTGGTGGGGGAAAGCAGGGAGAAGTCCCCAGGGTTTGAATGGGGGACACTGTGCCAGGTGGGGAGGAGCTAGAAACTTCTCTTTACATTACAATAGTCACAACTAACAAACTAACTTGGGGCCTTATTCATCAATGAGACAGGCCCCAGGGAGAGTGCGCAGCTTAGCGGACAGGGGCACATGTATGAGTGTGGGATGGATGGTGCATGATTGGCTATGTGCTACGTGTGGGAGTGTGAGATGTGAGGAAGTGGGTGGTGACAAAGCAGACTGACCTCAGTGCCACTTAGGAGCCGGGCCAGCAACAAGTTTCCCGCCCACCCTCCCTTTGCTGCTTTGGGCCCGGGTGGTTGTCACGGCAAGGCGGGGCATGTCCTTGCCAAATAAGGGATGGTAGATTAGATGAAAAGGGGGATAATGGCCGGGTCTCATCCTCCCCCTGTCTCTTATGGTGAACCTGGAGGAGGTACCAGGTTGGACGTGTCCCCACTGGGTTGTAAGTCGACCGGTGGGGAGCATTATGGTTGGGCCCCACCGAGCGGAAAACCGGCTGGTGGGGAGCCCTGAAAAGGAAGAGGTTTTATTAAGCCGAGGGGGGGAGGTGAGATCCTTGGAGAAGTTAGATTGGCAAGGACGGTTTTCTTGATTACTGTATGACTGTATAAAAGTGTTTATGTTAATTTATTATGTTATATGTTTAAGGAGTTATACAGTATTTGGTGATGTTAATAAATGCTGTGGCCTGTTTTCCCAAGAAGTTGTCTGTCGTTATTTGAAGGAGTAAGTTATGGTTTTTATGGGAGGATGAGGGGAATGCTATCCAATGCCCACTACGTACATACAAGATGTTTACTGTTGTGTTAGAATTTATCCAAGTTAGTTTTATCCAAATCATTTATTTTCACCTGGAATACCAAGAGAGAATCCACTAATAGGAAAAATATCCGCCCACAAACACAAACTCACCACCATATGGCCCATTTTGTAGATGAGTCTGTAGAGGTCTACTTAGCATTTATTACTAATGTTACAAATTGGAGAAATGAACCCGGCCTTGTTTTAGTGGGGTATTTGAGGCCAAGACTCATTCTGTTGCTGTACCTTAAACCTTGACCCTATCACACTTCATTCCTGTTGCAACAGTTCTCAAAATGAAAGATAATTTTAAGAGTCTAAAGAAAATGGTTGTGATGAAAATGGAAGTTGTGAAAGGAAAATAGGAGATTTAGCCATCCAGGGTAATCATTAAACAACGGAGCTGGATTAATGTGTTAAATTTTATAGTAAGCAATTAGCTAATAAAAGAAAACCAAATGAGCGTAAATGGGTTGAAATAGAACAAACAGAGCAATTGAAGTAGAATGGCATTGAATATTTGCAATATTTGCTTTTCAAAACAATTGAATCTGCATAAATCCAACTACAGTGGCAAAAACAAATAAAATTAACCCCTTCCCGACCGCGGACGGAAATTTTCCGTCAACCTTGTCCTTCAGTTAAGGACCGTTGATGGAAAATTTCCGTCATTTACTAAAGATAACCCCAGATCGCTCCGATCGCGAGGTTAACGGTGCTCCGGTCTGCCTCTGTATTAGAGGCAGACCGGGAGCACTCGATCGGGCTGCCCCAGCACCGGTGCTCGCTCTGACAGGCTGTTTTTGAAGTGCAAAAGTGCTTATCAAATGACCCAGCATAACATAAATATAAAATACTGTATATGCACAAAACTCACAAAAAATGTGTCTTAATGAATGTAAGTGAATTTAATTTAGAAAATAAATTCAATGTCTCAATATTTTTATGTGCAAAGACCGAGCAATGTGCAACAACCACAAATTGTAGTGTTAAGACTCTACAAGACATCCACTAGAGGCGCTTCCTGCTGTTTCAATGAGTTTAGCTCCATAAAATGATGCTGGACGTCCTCTGGCAGAGCGTGAGTGTCCAACGCCTTGAAAATCCCCATAGAAAAGCACTGAGTCAGTGCTTTCCTATGAAGAAGACCAAATGCACGCGAACACGCATTAGGATCCTCCTTGCGATGACCTCACAGGAGGCTGAGACGGAGCCGGTGCAGAGGGCCTTGGCACTGAAATAAGGTTAGTGAACCCTTTCATTGCTGCATGGGGAGGGGGTGCTGGAGAGTAGGGGCACTATAGTGTTAAGAATACAGCTTTGTATTCCAAACACTATAGTGTTCCTTTCATTCTATCCCCCAATCATTGTCATTTAAACAAGTTAAAATGTATTCTAAAATCTCAGCACTCCCTTTCCATATAAAAAATATATCATCTATGTACTGCCTGAAGTATTGCGCCTAGCGTAGATGAGAAAAACCAGATGTTTCTTTCCAGAAAGTCATGGACAAACTGGCGTTGCTGGGTGCAAACTTGGTTCCCTTAGCAATACCGCAATTCTATAAGCAGAACATTTTGTTATACCAAAAAAGTTATTTCTTAAAATGAGACTGATATCCACTAATCAACTTATTTTAAATATATATCGGATGTCATTAAAACGTTTTCACTGGCTCACAGCCCTTTTCATTAGGAATACTGATCTTCACAGTATTTGAAATGCATAATGATATCAATGACCAACAAATGCAAAAACAATTACCCGCCCCCAGAAATGCACTAAAGTTATTTCCAAATGTCCAGACAACAGGAAAATTTAGTAAAGTTTATTTCTGAATCAACATGATAATATTACTAATTTTCCCATAAACGTTTATAATTGACATATTATTATGTTGTTATGCAGAGGGGGGGAAAAAATACATTTATAGTGAATTTTAAATTTTAGACCAAAATAGCCAAACTGGGAAAACAATCTCCAAATCAGCTATGGTTCCAGTTTCTTTAAAACCCTGTGAAAATTTGGTATTGGGATCAACAATGATTATCTTTGGTGGATACCCCAGTCTCTGCACTAGAAAAAGTGTATATTTATTATAGGACAGATATGTATGTATGTTTACTGACACAGTGTACAGCACAGTATTCAGAGGACAAACCAGGCAGACTTTATTATTCAGAACAGGTTTAAAAAAAAAAAAGGAAAAAAAAAGGGGCATTTCATCAAAAGTGAGTTTATATTAACTTCTGTATAATGCACTTCAATTACACATTTATAAACCCTGGGAATATGTAACCTGCTGAAAACAACACAATGAAGAGTCACATTACATGCTGCAGAGAGCATTCTACAAACTACCTGAGGCCAAAATGAAGCCCCCGTCAGGACTGACATGAGACAATGGGGATATATATTATTGTGCCTCTTTTTTTTCCTGTTCCATTTTGGTTAATTGTTTTGGTTCACAAATATCTATTTTCAAATGTACTGTCAGGATTACTAGTTGATCCAGCATGCAGAAATAGTATCACACCTAGGACTAAGGGTAACGTCTCACTGGATCTTAGAATGGCCGGACTTAATGTACCCAAGAATAGTCAAAATACTTGCCGAGGTCAGGGAAACAGAATGAGACACAACGATGAGGGAAAGCCAAAAGTCAAGGATACCAGAAATCAGGGAAGTCAAAAACTAAGCCAAAGTCAAATACCAGAAATAATACGATCAGGAACACTCTCTCAGATAACCAGCAAAGGGAAACCATGACAGGGCACTGACAAAAAGGTAATTTGGGTTTAAATAACCCTCCTTAGTCTGTAATTGGCTGTCTCTGACCTCTGACCCCAAAACGTGCATGTGCGTCTATGACATGACGCCGCACGCATGTTGGCGCCATCTTTGATATAGGCGAAGCTAAGTTCTTTATAATAGTCCGCTGCGGCCGGCGTTCTCAGGAACGTCGCACCCGCTAGGGACTGGAACGGAGGGAGACCGGGTAGCTGCCTGTTGACCCCCAGGTAAGTTGAAAACATCTCTGACGGCATGGCTGCTAAGTTTAAATGCAGTCACGCCGGCAGAGATGTCGGAGTCCGAAAATAAGTTCTCACACATTTACAAAAATAAGTTCTCACACATTTTTCAGCCCCTGTCAGAGTGGTTGCTTTTTTCTTTGACAGGTAAATAGTTTTTTTTAACAATCTTCCTTTCTGGGAGCTGTAATAGTTATGATGCATGGAGTAACACTTTAAAAGGACAGTTTAGGCACCATAACAACTTCACCTAAATTAAGTCGTTACGATGCCAGGAGGCTCCTCTTACCTTAAAAGGTTAAACCGTTCTCGAAGTGAGCCTCCAGCTCCGGCAGCCCTGACTGACGGCACTCTGCTCTTCCTGAAACCGAGATTCGTATACCACCTGGAGGACCTGAAGATCGGGGCTGGAGACTCAAACTAATCTAGGTCAGTTTAACCCCTTAATGTAAAAGTATGCCCGGGGGCCTCCCGGCACCATAACAACTTTGTTTACATGAAGTTGTTATGGTGACTGTAGTGCCATTAAATTCCTACATGTCAGAGAACTGAGCAGTGAGCCAGCAAAGGCATGATCTATGCTCCATTAACCAAACATTACAGTGTTATGAATACAAAATATATATATATATATAGTGTTAGGAATACGAAACTGTATTCCTAACACTATAGTGTCCTCCTGCCTCCCCTTCCCTGGTGTCAAATAAAGGGTTAAATAACCCTTTTTACACTGACCTAATTCGCAAGCATGGCAGGCATTAGGCCTTCATCATAGGGAAGCATTGCCTCAGAGCATTCCCATGGGGATATTTCCACACGCTGGACATCCTTATGCAAAGTGTGAGATGTCTTCACGGAGATTCTATACGCTCCACTGCAGGCCGCTTTTAACGCGATCAGAGAGGGGCACCATCTACCCACGCAGTCCCTTAGGGCCCACATTGTGCTCCTTCTGAAGGAAGGGAAGGACGGGGATTTCTGCAATAACTATAGACACATCTCCCTCATAAACAGCGACCTGAAGCTGCTAACAAAAATTTTGGCAACGCGTCTGCAACCACATGTTCCCACCCTGGTGCACCCGGACCAGGTGGGGTTTGTGATGGGGAGGGAGGCAAGGGACAATACGATTAGAGCGCTGTCGATAGGCCATGGGGGGTCGGCGGGCGCCAGGGGCCTTCTCCTGCTATCCACGGACGCGGAGAAGGCCTTCGACCGGGTCGGATGGACGTATATGTTCCAGGCCCTCTCACATCTGGGCATGGGGACACACATGAGGGGCTGGATAGAAGCCATTTACCGATAACCCAGAGCCCAGATAATCGTAAATGGGGCACTCACGGAGGACGTTATAATCCAAAACGGCACCCGTCAGGGGTGCCCCCTGTCCCCGCTCTTGTTTGTGCTAGCTTTGGAGCCATTTTTACAAGCAATCAGGAGCAACCCAGACATTACGGGGGTAGCTGCAGGCAAGGTACACCATAAGGTAGCGGCGTATGCCGATGACCTTCTCTTTTTTGTCTCCAGACCCGAAATCTCCCTCCCGAATATCATTAAGGCTCTTAGGGATTACGGCGAGATCTCAAATATGAAGATCAATTTCGCCAAGTCGTGTACACTTAATATATCCATACCTCAACATCGGGAGATGTTGCTGCGTCAGGGCTTCCCGTTCCAATGGGCAGATAGTAAAATCAGGTACCTGGGCATTTGGCTCCCCAGACAAGATCTCTTTAAAGACAATTTTGCCCAGATGCTGTCCACCTTCAGAAGGGAGACGGGAGAATGGGCGTACCCCCACATCTCTTGGTTCGGCCGGGTGCAGGTCGTGAAAATGAATTTCCTACCACGGCTGCTATATTTGATGCAGACAATACCCATATGTATCCCCAGGACGTACTTTGGATCCCTCAATGGGACCCTGAGAGAATACATATGGAGGGGGACGAAGCCAAGGCTAAAATTCCAGCAACTGACACAACCCAAGGAGTGGGGAGGGATGGCGCTGCCGGACTTCCACCTTTACTATATAGCATGCCACCTACTTAGGATAATGGAGTGGTCAAAACAGAATGTACACAAACAATGGAAAACAGTGGAGGAGGCGGAGCTAGGGATCCCCATAGCGTTGGCCCCGTGGTTGCCGAGGGGGAGGGGAGGCAGGGCGCCCACCTATGTCAGGGCTACCTTGAAAGTATGGTACGGTATAGCAGACAGAGCGGGCCTCACCCCTTACCCATCACCCTTACTGCCCCTGACGTACAATGGGGAGTTCCAGCCGGGATTGGGCCCACTGGCACTAAGGGGCATCATCCCTGACCTCCTGCCTAGGCTACACCATGTTCAGACACCTACGGGGCGCAAAACCCTACCAGATCTTCTGGGAGGGCGAACCCCCACCTTCCTACAGCAGTTCCATTATGCGCAGTTGACGAGCTACCTGCAAACCTTACCCCAGGGAGGGGCATTACAACGCATCCCCACGGGGTTCGAGCAATTGTGCCTTGAACCGGAACCACTCCCACACGGGGTATCCATCCTATACAAATTACTCCAACAGCAGATTCCGGTGGAGACACCTAGGTTTCAGGGGAAGTGGGAGAGGGCCTTACACCGTCAGTTTAGCGCAGGGGAATGGGACAAAATATGCACTCTAACGCACCATTGTGCTGCCTTTAGTAGGCATCAGGAGGCCGCATATAAATTGCTCACACAGTGGTATCGCACCCCAGATGTCCTCCACAACATGCATCCCGACCACTCGGCACAATGCTGGAGATGTGGCACAGAGACAGGGACACACATACACATATGGTGGGAGTGTGAGAAAATACAATCCTTTTGGAGAGGCATACATAAAATGCTGCAGATATTCTCGGACCCGCCACCACCCTTTGACCCCTCGGCGATGCTCCTACACCACACATCTACACCTAGTGGCAAATACAAACGATCACTAACTATACGGATCCTCAATATCGCAAAACAAAGCATTCCTCAGCACTGGAGGAATACGGAGGCACCCACGCTTCAGTCGTGGTTTGCCCAAATGGAAGTCCTCAGGGCGACAGAGGAGGTTTACATGAAGACCTCAGACAGGACACAACAATATTTGGACATATGGACTCATTGGATAGTGACGACAGCAGGGGACTCATTCACGACAGCTCTAGGGGAGACAGACCAGCCCCAAGGTACTCAGCCCCCACGGGCTCACAGAGAATGCTAGAACCCGCACAGGAACCCAGGCAGTAGGGATTATCGGACTGCAGGCCCTTAGGGCCAGACCCCAGGGGACTACGACTCACCCCAGCCACCCAGGACGGACTTGAGACTGACGGATAACGACGCCCCACCCATGCCGGGAGCGGTGTGCCCCAAGAGGATACGTCTACTCTGGCCACCTAAGCTAGACGAGTTCCCCCCAGGAGGAAAGCACGGGAGCGGACTAGGGAGGGTTCACGTATTCGGGTGACATTGTGATGGGCTCCTTCTGGAGGGCCACACACCGGTGGTGGGACAGGTAGACTAAAATTTGAGACATATTTTTCATATCTAAATGCTTGGAGACCTGCGTATCTCATCAGTATCACTTACTTTGAGAGATCTGCGAATCTCGAAAGGTTTTTTTTGTTGTTGTTAGACTGTTTCTCTACACTCTGAACGTAAAGCTGCATTTTATTGTTTCTTTGATATGAGAAAACCTTCAATAAAAGGCTATTTACCAAAAAAAAAAAAGTGTGAGACTGTCCAGCGTTGTTTCATTGAGTCAAACTTTGTGAAACTACAATAATCGCCTCTAATGGCTGTCTGGTAGTCAATCACTAGAGGCAGTGTTAAGACTAAAATGTAAACATTGCAGTTTCTCTAAGACTGCAATGTTTTACATTGCGTGGCTAAGGAAAGAGGGACACTGCACCCAGACCAATTCAATGAGAGTGTGCTTGGTGCCTATAGTGTCTCTTTAAGCTAAAGTTGTTTTGGTGCTTAGAGTGTTCCTTTAAAGTATAAAAAAATTTAAACAAAATTCCTTAAAACAGTGAATGTGTATTTTTCACAAGTAATAGTACTTATTTTGGACCATAAAATCTGAAGTTATAAAAAGTGGCATAAGTTTGGATAATTTTTGTGCACTCCAGAAAAAGTGGGAAAAGCCACCAATGTATAGAAGATAGAGTAAGAGTTTAATATTTTGAACATGGCGCATGCACATAAAACTGGCATAACCTTGAAAGCAAATGCAATGATTTTTTATTTATAATCCACATTATACTGCTTACTAACCCCCATTGTTTTGCCCATCGAGCCATCGTTGTACCCACATGTTGTAGGAAAAGCATCACAAGAGCTGTTATAGAGCAGATGAGGGCTGACTTTTGGCAATCCCTGCATTTAGACAAAAGTTTGTGGAGAATTTCCAATGACACTATCTCCACAATTAATGCTTATTAATTCTCAGGCTCACTTTTACCTCCTCTCTCAGATAATTAACCACACAAGTGCTACTAACCTGAACCCATAACCCTGATTGTTCATTTGGCAAGGACATTCAGCAATAGGATTGTAAGATTGGGTACACTATAAAAATACACTTATTGCAATACTTCATCCTATACACCCCTGGAATTTGCATACTGATGAAAATAAAAGGAATAAAAATGGCCACTATCCTCAGAAAGGAAGATGCTCTCAGAATCCAATGCTTATAGTGACAATCTATCGCAGTATTACTCTCTCACAATGACAGTCTCTGACAGTGACAGTCTCTCACAGTATTAATGTCTCACAATGACAGTCTCTGACAATGATAGTTCCTGACAGTTGCAGTCTCTTACAATGACAGTCTCTCACAGTATTATTAGTTTCTTACAGTGGCATCTCTCGCAAGGGCCCCTTCACATGGCTATTACTTCACAGCAGCAGTCTCGCAAGAGACAGTCTCCCACCCCCAGGCTCTCTAACCACAGTTTCTGACAGAAGCAGTATCTCACACACCGACACAGTATGACAGATATCTCACACAAAGACAGTCTCTGACAGATATCTCACACACAGACAGTCTCTGACAGATATCTCACACACAGAGAGACAGTATGACAGATATCTCATCCACAGAGACAGTCTCTAACAGATATCTCATACAGAGACAGTCTCTGACAGATATCTCATACACAGAGACAGTCTCTGACAGATATCTCACACACAGAGAGACAGTATGACAGATATCTCATCCACAGAGACAGTCTCTGACAGATATCTCATACACAGAGACAGTCTCTGACACATATCTCACACACAGTGAGACAGTCTCTGACAGATATCACACACAGAGAGACAGTCTCTGACAGATATCTCATACATTGAAACAGTCTCTGACAGATATCTCACACACAGAGAGACAGTCTCTGACAGATATCTCACACACAGAGAGACAGTCTGACAGATATCTCATACACAGAGACAGTCTGACAGATATCTCATACACAGAGACAGTCTCTGACAGATATCTCACACACAGAGACAGTCTCTGACAGATATTGCACACACACAGAGACAGTCTGACAGATATCTCACACAGAGAGACAGTCTCTGACAAATATCTCACACACAGAGACAGTCTCTGACAGATATCTCACACACAGAGACAGTCTGACAGATATCTCACACACAGAGACAGTCTGACAGATATCTCACACACAGAGACAGTCTGACAGCTGTCTCACACACAGAGAGACAGTCTCTGACAGATATCTTACACACAGAGACAGTCTCTGACAGATATCTCACACACAGAGACAGTCTGACAGATATCTCACACACAGAGAGACAGTCTGACAGATATCTCACACACAGAGACAGTCTGACAGCTATCTCACACACAGAGAGACAGTCTCTGACAGATATCTTACACACAGAGACAGTCTCTGACAGATATCTCACACACAGAGAGTCTCTGACAGATATTGCACACACACAGAGACAGTCTGACAGATATCTCACACAGAGAGACAGTCTCTGACAAATATCTCACACACAGAGACAGTCTCTGACAGATATCTCACACACAGAGACAGTCTGACAGATATCTCACACACAGAGAGACAGTCTGACAGATATCTCACACACAGAGACAGTCTGACAGATATCTCACACACACAGAGACAGTCTGACAGCTATCTCACACACAGAGACAGTCTCTGACAGATATCTCATACAGAGACAGTCTCTGACAGATATCTCATACACAGAGACAGTCTCTGACAGATATCTCACACACAGAGAGACAGTATGACAGATATCTCATCCACAGAGACAGTCTCTGACAGATATCTCATACAGAGACAGTCTCTGACAGATATCTCATACACAGAGACAGTCTCTGACACATATCTCACACACAGTGAGACAGTCTCTGACAGATATCACACACAGAGAGACAGTCTCTGACAGATATCTCATACATTGAAACAGTCTCTGACAGATATCTCACACACAGAGAGACAGTCTCTGACAGATATCTCACACACAGAGAGACAGTCTGACAGATATCTCATACACAGTGACAGTCTGACAGATATCTCATACACAGAGACAGTCTCTGACAGATATCTCACACACAGAGACAGTCTCTGACAGATATTGCACACACACAGAGACAGTCTGACAGATATCTCACACAGAGAGACAGTCTCTGACAAATATCTCACACACAGAGACAGTCTCTGACAGATATCTCACACACAGAGACAGTCTGACAGATATCTCACACACAGAGAGACAGTCTGACAGATATCTCACACACAGAGAGACAGTCTGACAGATATCTCACACACAGAGAGAGACAGTCTGACAGATATCTCACACACAGAGACAGTCTGACAGATATCTCACACACAGAGAGACAGTCTGACAGATATCTCACACACAGAGAGACAGTCTGACAGATATCTCACACACAGAGACAGTCTGACAGCTATCTCACACACAGAGAGACAGTCTCTGACAGATATCTTACACACAGAGACAGTCTCTGACAGATATCTCACACACAGAGATCTCACACACAGAGACAGTCTGACAGATATCTCACACAGAGAGACAGTCTGACAAATATCTCACACACAGAGACAGTCTCTGACAGATATCTCACACACAGAGACAGTCTGACAGATATCTCACACACAGAGAGACAGTCTGACAGATATCTCACACACAGTGACAGTCTGACAGATATCTCACACACAGAGAGACAGTCTGACAGATATCTCACACACAGAGAGACAGTCTGACAGATATCTCACACACAGAGACAGTCTGACAGATATCTCACACACAGAGACAGTCTGACAGATATCTCACACACACAGTCTGACAGATATCTGACAGTCTGACAGATATCTCACACACAGAGAGACAGTCTGACAGATATCTCACACACAGAGACAGTCTGACAGCTATCTCACACACAGAGAGACAGTCTCTGACAGATATCTCACACACAGAGAGACAGTCTCTGACAGATATCTCACACACAGAGACAGTCTGACAGATATCTCACACACAGAGAGACACCATGTGTTTTTCTCCTCTCTCAGGTAATGAATCAAACAAGCTAATAACCAGAACCCATACACCTGATTGTTCAACTGGCAATGACATTAAGATAAAGAACTGCAAGAACAACATTTTAATGAGGTGACAGTTATAAACAGACATTTTACAATACTTTACCCTTTGCATCCCCTGCATGGTGACTGCACCCTGTCTCTGATCAGAAGAAAAGGAATCAAAATGGCCGCTTCCCTCCAAGACAAGACCCTCCCAGAGACAGTCCAAACAGAGACAGTCCTCACTGAGACAGTCCTCACTGAGACAGTCCTCCCTGAGACAGTCCTCCCAGAGACAGTCCTCACTGAGACAGTCCTCACTGAGACAGTCCAAACAGAGACAGTCCTCACTGAGACAGTCCTCACTGAGACAGTCCTCACTGAGACAGTCCAAACAGAGACAGTCCTCACTGAGACAGTCCAAACAGAGACAGTCCTCACTGAGACAGTCCTCACAGAGACAGTCCTCACTGAGACAGTCCTCCCAGAGACAGTCCTCACTGAGACAGTCCTCACTGAGACAGTCCAAACAGAGACAGTCCTCACTGAGACAGTCCTCACTGAGACAGTCCAAACAGAGACAGTCCTCACTGAGACAGTCCTCACTGAGACAGTCCTCACAGAGACAGTCCTCACTGAGACAGTCCAAACAGAGACAGTCCTCCCAGAGACATCAAAGATCCTCCCAGAGACAGTCCTCACAGAGACAGTCCTCCCAGACACATCAAAGATCCTCCCAGAGACAGTCCTCACAGAGACAGTCCTCCCAGAGACATCAAAGATCCTCCCAGAGACAGTCCTCCCAGAGACAGTCCAAACAGAGACAGTCCTCCCAGAGACAGTCCTCCCAGAGACATCAAAGATCCTCCCAGAGACAGTCCTCACTGAGACAGTCCTCACAGAGACATCAAAGATCCTCCCAGAGACAGTCCTCACAGAGACAGTCCTCCCAGAGACATCAAACACAATGTATACTTCACAGAGACAGTCCTCACTGCTCAAACCATAGAGACAGTACTCATAGAGCACTCAAGAGACAGTCCTCATTGATCACTCTAGAGAGACAGTCCTCACACACTGATCAAACCACAGAGACAGTCATCACAGATCAACCACAGAGACAGTCCTTACAGAGACAGTCCTCAAAGATCAAACCACAGAAACAGTCCTCACACATCAAGACAGTCCTTTCACTTCAGAGACAGTCCTCACAGATCAGCCCATAGAGACAGTCCTTACAGATCAAACCACAGATACAATCTCCACAGATCAAACCACAGAGGCAGTCCTCAAAGATCAACCACAGACAGTCCTCTCACTCCACAGAGACAGTCCACATAGATTAACCACAGAGACATTCCTAACTGAACACTCCATAAAGACAGTCCTCATTCATAGCTCTACAGAGACAGTCATCACATATCAACTACAGAGACAGTCCTCATAGATCACTCCACAGAGACAGTCCTCATAGAGCAAACCACAGAGACAGTCCTCACAGATCACTCTACAGACAGTCCTCACAGATCAAACCACAGAAACAGCCTTCACAGATCACTCTACAGACAGTCCTAACACATCAAACCACAGAAACAGTCCTCACAGATCACTCTACAGACAGTCCTCACACATCAAACCACAGAGACAGTCCTCACAGATCACTCTACAGACAGTCCTCACACATCAAACCACAGTGACAGTCCTCACAGATCACTCTACAGACAGTCCTCACACATCAAACCACAGAAACAGTCCTCACAGAGACAGTCCAAACAGAGACAGTCCTCCCAGAGACAGTCCTCCCAGAGACATCAAAGATCCTCCCAGAGACAGTCCTCACTGAGACAGTCCTCACAGAGACATCAAAGATCCTCCCAGAGACAGTCCTCACAGAGACAGTCCTCCCAGAGACATCAAACACAATGTATACTTCACAGAGACAGTCCTCACTGCTCAAACCATAGAGACAGTACTCATAGAGCACTCAAGAGACAGTCCTCATTGATCACTCTAGAGAGACAGTCCTCACACACTGATCAAACCACAGAGACAGTCATCACAGATCAACCACAGAGACAGTCCTTACAGAGACAGTCCTCAAAGATCAAACCACAGAAACAGTCCTCACACATCAAGACAGTCCTTTCACTTCAGAGACAGTCCTCACAGATCAGCCCATAGAGACAGTCCTTACAGATCAAACCACAGATACAATCTCCACAGATCAAACCACAGAGGCAGTCCTCAAAGATCAACCACAGACAGTCCTCTCACTCCACAGAGACAGTCCACATAGATTAACCACAGAGACATTCCTAACTGAACACTCCATAAAGACAGTCCTCATTCATAGCTCTACAGAGACAGTCATCACATATCAACTACAGAGACAGTCCTCATAGATCACTCCACAGAGACAGTCCTCATAGAGCAAACCACAGAGACAGTCCTCACAGATCACTCTACAGACAGTCCTCACAGATCAAACCACAGAAACAGCCTTCACAGATCACTCTACAGACAGTCCTAACACATCAAACCACAGAAACAGTCCTCACAGATCACTCTACAGACAGTCCTCACACATCAAACCACAGAGACAGTCCTCACAGATCACTCTACAGACAGTCCTCACACATCAAACCACAGTGACAGTCCTCACAGATCACTCTACAGACAGTCCTCACACATCAAACCACAGAAACAGTCCTCACAGATCACGCTACAGACAGTCCTCACACATCAAACCACAGAAACAGCCCTCACAGATCACTCTACAGACAGTCCTCACACATCAAACCACAGAAACAGTCCTCACAGATCACTCTACAGACAGTCCTCACACATCAAACCACAGAAACAGTCCTCACAGATCACTCTACAGACAGTCCTCACACATCAAACCACAGAAACAGCCCTCACAGATCACTCTACAGACAGTCCTAACACATCAAACCACAGAAACAGTCCTCACAGATCACTCTACAGACAGTCCTCACACATCAAACCACAGTGACAGTCCTCACAGATCACTCTACAGACAGTCCTCACACATCAAACCACAGAAACAGTCCTCACAGATCACTCTACAGACAGTCCTCACAGATCAAACCACAGAAACAGCCCTCACAGATCACTCTACAGACAGTCCTCACACATCAAACCACAGAAACAGTCCTCACAGATCACTCTACAGACAGTCCTCACACATCAAACCACAGAAACAGCCCTCACACATCACTCTACAGACAGTCCTCACACATCACACCACAGAAACAGCCCTCACAGATCACTCTACAGACAGTCCTCACACATCAAACCACAGAAACAGCCCTCACAGATCACTCTACAGACAGTCCTCACACATCAAACCACAGAAACAGTCCTCACAGATCACTCTACAGACAGTCCTCACTGATCAAACCACAGAGACAGTCCTCACAGATCACTCTACAGACAGTCCTCACACATCAAACCACAGAAACAGTCCTCACTGTTCACTCTACAGACAGTCCTCACTGATCAAACCACAGAGACAGTCTTCACAGATCACTCTACAGACAGTCCTCACACATCAAACCACAGAAACAGTCCTCACAGATCACTCTACAGACAGTTCTCACACATCAAACCACAGAAACAGTCCTCACAGATCACTCTACAGACAGTCCTCACAGATCAAACCACAGAAACAGCCCTCACAGATCACTCTACAGACAGTCCTCACACATCAAACCACAGAAACAGTCCTCACAGATCACTCTACAGACAGTCCTCACAGATCAAACCACAGAAACAGTCCTCACAGATCACTCTACAGACAGTCCTCAAACATCAAACCACAGAAACAGTCCTCACAGATCACTCTACAGACAGTCCTCACACATCAAACCACAGAAACAGTCCTCACAGATCACTCTACAGACAGTCCTCACAGATCAAACCACAGAAACAGTCCTCACAGATCACTCTACAGACAGTCCTCACACATCAAACCACAGAAACAGTCCTCACAGATCACCCTACAGACAGTCCTCACACATCAAACCACAGAAACAGTCCTCACAGATCACTCTACAGACAGTCCTTACACATCAAACCACAGTGACAGTCCCTGAATGAGAACATATTGGAGTTCCCACCATTTAGCCTCCATTAAGAAATAAATCATTCACTAATTTTGTGTTAGATCGAGTATGGTGTCTTGTATTATTATTATTTTTTTTTGTTTGATGTACCACGTAATGGGTGATATTAGGAATTATTTTGGGCTAACTCAAAAAAAACTAATCGAAGAAAAAAATGAAAGAAAAAAAAACATTGTTTATAGTTTATAGGTAATAGTTATGATCAGGTAGTTGTTTTGTTTGATTTAAAGGGACCACTATAGTCACCAAAACAACTTTAGCTTAATGAAGCAGTTTTAGTGTATAGATCATGAACTGCAGTCTTGATGTGTCCGAGGGTTGCCGCAGTAATGGCGAGGGAGAGCTTCAGGTGAAGAAATACAGGTGAGGGAGAGAATGGGCTTGCCGGTGAGAGAGATTTTTGATCTCCCCACTGGCCATGCTGCCCCTCACCTGCCTGCCACCCCAATTCCATGGCCTTGTGGCAAAATCCAGCCCTGCGTGCAGGGAGGTGTGACTAGGGGCAACATAAACAAAATGATGTAACTCCTAAATGGCAGTAAGACTGCAGAGGCATGATCTATACACCAAAACTACTTCACCATATTAAAGCCCTTTTTGTCCTTTAAAAAAGGGAGAAGCTAATTACGTCTATTACCAACATAGTTCCCGGCTGCCAAAGTCACAACATGTGCCAGAGGTGTAACTAGTGCCCAGCAAACAAGTGTGAATATTTGTGGATGTGCAGTGATTCAAGCGGAAATATTGCACGTCCAGACTCCTACTACCACAAACACTTTAAGTGGTCATGGTGGTTGCAATAACCCTTCAAGAAAAAAGATGAGCAAACTTAAGCTTGGTCCTTAGGGGGTTAAATAAAGGATCTTTGTACTAAAGGCTTGTGCAGTGCGTTTTGTTCCGTTGTACTGCTACTGGCTGTAAGTGGAGCTGAAGTCCTGCACTCTGGTTTGGACAGTGGCTTCATTTCTGTGTTTGAGATTACAGCAGTGACGAGAGCTGCTCTCTGATGAAGGATCAGCACATGACTAAAAAGATGATGGCGTTTCCCACATGGGAGATCTTCAGGGTCTGCTCAGCCCTTGGCCATCAAACATAAAGAGCGAAACAAGCCTGTCGCCTTTGGAATAGAGACACGCTAACTAATATGCTGTCCAAAGTGCAAGGAGAGGGACATCACTGGTTTTTTCACAAGTTTTAATGAAATTGTTTTTAATTCAAGGATTTTACTATTACCATGACGTAAAGTCATGATTTTATTAATGACACGGAGGCTCCTATTACGCCGCACTCTTTCTTTATTTCCCTCAGCAGCAAATAAAAAACTTTTTATAAACATAACCAGTAATAACATTAATAGTCTGAGGTGTATTCTTCCCAGCAACAGGAACAGCCAATCAGGTTCCACTCCTCCAGCATAATAGGCTCTGGCAAACAATCCTTTTCCTCTTTATTTGTGGTCCCGAATAAGTAAAATTATCCAACCAAACATGGAACCCATTACAAAGGGAATGTCCCACTCGATGTGAGATAGATTAGACTGTAAGAGAGGAAAAATATGGTAATACCTTAGCAGAATACTGGATGTACGCATAAATCATTGATATCCGAGATAGGATTTGGTCAGTGTTCTTGCCAAAGGGAATATTGTTGTTTAACCTATAAATTGGGTGACCATATAAGTATGAGATTATCAGAACTAGGGGCTTATCTGGTTCAAATCACAGAAGATAACTTAATTTCGAGCGAGTATAACAGGAGTAGAAATACATGTTTGAAAGACTTACCGTGGGTCAACTTACCCAATTTCCATCAACCTTTCCACAGTCATCGGGTGGGAAGGAGGGATAATACTCGCCTCTGTGTCATTAATAAAATCATGACTTTACGTCATGGTAATAGTAAAATCCTTGAATTTTATTAAGACACGGAGGCTCCTATTATGCTGGTTTAAAGCTGAGAGACTACCGTTCCTGCGAAATGGTGTATGGGCTTAAAGTAAAAATCCCGGAAGGTAGATTCTGAGGACCAGTCGGCTGCTTTGTGTGGTGTAGTAAACCTTGTTGAAACAGGGGATGGGGGGACCCATCCGGGTCCCAAGCAGATAGTCAAAGCGTGGGAGGATGCGGGGTATGTCTATCGCCATCTCTAACAGGGAAGGAAACCATGGTTGGGACGGCCATAATGGTGCCACGATCACTACAGTTCCTGTCTGTTGCCGTAGTTGCAGTAGCCAGTGGGGAATCAATGCAAAGGGAGGAAAAGCGTAGTTCTTTGTGGAGGACTAGTCTTGGGTAAAGGCATCTGTTGCCAGTGCTGCTGGGTCCGGTTTCCAACTGAAAAATCTGGGAAGTTGTGTATTCAAACGGGAACCGAACAAGTCCTTGTCCAGAGGGCCCCACAGGGACTGGATGTCTTGGAAGACTCTGGGTTCCAGGTGCCAGTCGCTGGAGTCCCTGAGGTGTCGTGAGTACCAGTCCACCGTTGTTTTGCAGAGGCCTGGGATATACTCCGCTGTGACCGAAATGCCCTGTGCCAGGCAAAATTGCCAAAAGTCCCGTGCCAAATTCGCCAGGACCTTCGATTTCGTGCCTCCCAAGTGATTTATATAACGGACTGCCGATATATTGTCCATTTTCAGAAGGATGGCACATCGGGCTTGAGTTGGAGAAAAACTGCGGATTGCAAAGGATCCGGCCAGGAGTTCCAGGCAATTGATGTGAAGTGATGATTCCACTTCGGACCATCTGCCACCTGTAGATACAGTTCCACAGCGTGCACCCCAACCGTGCAAGCTCGCATCGGATTCTATTATTATGTCTGGTGCGGTGCCGAAAATGGCTCGGCCATTCCAGGCCTCCATATGGGAGAGCCACCATTTGAGTTCTGTTTTCGCTTCGGTGTTCAGAATGATCATGTCCGTGTATGAGGTCCCGTCTCTCAAATGGGAGGCATGTAGGCGCTGTAGCGCTCGATAGTGTAGAGGGCCCGGGAAGATGGCTTGTATGGAGGCCGCCAAGAGGCCTATCACTCTCGCCAATTGTTTTAGGGAGATCTGTGAGGTCGCCAGAGTGCGTCTGATCTCCTTCTTTATGTTGGTTAATTTTGTCGCCGGTAAATGTAGGGTCTGTAGTGTAAAGTCCATGATGAGACCCAAAAACTCTATGTGCTGAGTGGTAGTTAGGATGGATTTTTTCCAATTGATGAGGAAACCTAAATTCTGCAATAGAGTCTGAGTCCAAGTAAGATGGGTCTCGGTAATTTGGGTGGACTGACCCATGATGAGGATGTCGTCTAAGTAGATTATGAGACGAACCCCTCGACTTAGTAGTAGAGCCATCATGGGCTTCATGAGTTTGGTGAAGCACCACAGGGCTGAGGATAGTCCGAATGGGAGACAGGTGAATCTCCATTTCCTTCCTTGCCATATGAATTGTAGGAAGTCTTGGTGGTGTCGTGCAATCGGTATTGTGAAATAGGCGTCCTGTAGGTCTAACTTGACCATCCAGTCCGACGGTTGGAGGAGATCTCTGAGGCAGTGTATGCCTTCCATTTTGAAATGATTGTAGGCAACATAAGTGTTGAGTTGTTTCAAGTTGATCACTGGGCGGACGCCGCCCACTTTCTTGGCAACTAAGAATAGGTTGCTCACATAGCCTGAGGTAGTCATAGGGATCTCTAAGATGGCTCGTTTGTGTGCCAATTCCAAGACCTCCTCGGACACAAGGGAGGCGTCTTGTCGGGAAAACTGAATTTCCCGTGGTGGGGAGAGTTGTACTGGAAGGGACAGGAACTCTAAAGTGTACCCTCTTCCAGTGTTCAATACCCAGGCATCTGATGAGATGTGTGACCATGCATGGAAAAAATTTAGGAGTCTGCCCCCCACTGCCCATAGGGAAGAAGGAAATATGAGATGACTTACCATAAGGTCGTCGTCCTGGACGGGTGCCTCGTGATCCACGAGCAACCCATGGCCGCCCACGTTGTGGGAAGAAGGCCGGGGAGTTGCGGTGCTCCGTGAAGGTGGATTATCCAGTGTAGGAGCCTCGGTTCTGTCGAAATGAACCCCTGTTAACACGGCCGGACAGACGGCTCCTGGCTCTTCCGGCCCCACTAAAAACCTTAGGGTGGAAAACTTTGCGCATATTTGAGTTTGCCTTATCTAGGGCAGTAAAAGTATGTACGAAAGAGCCAAGCTCTTTGACAAAATTGTTTCCGAACAGGAGACCATGGGCCTGGGTGCCCGGCTCGGTTATAGCCATGTTTACTAACTTGGGTTCTATTTTCAGTAATATCACTTTGCAACGTTCTGTGGCCATCGCGCAGTTGGCATTGCCAATCAAGCAAATCACTTGTTGTATCCAGCCACTTATGGCGGTACGATCCAACTCTTGGTCATTTTCGACCATATCAAATATTTTGGTTGATGGGCCCAATATATCTAATATCTTATCCTGGCAGTTGCGCAGGGAGAAATCTAGGCCTTTATTAGGCTTCCAACCTGTCTCGCTCAGAAATTGGATGATTTTTGGGTCCACTGCAGGTGTTCTGCAGGCATCGTCTGGGATAGTGGGACGTGGGCATTCTGCCCGGAATTTATTACGCGTCGCCTTATTTAAAGGCTTGCGAATTCTTGATGCTATGTATTTGGCCACATGGGCCGAAGGGGACCATTCCGCTGACCGTGGATGATGCAGGTCATCGGGGTCGAACAGAGGTTCCCCATAGGGGTCTAAGAGTTTGTTTGCATCATCTGGGGCTTTAAGCTCCATGTCATACGAGTCAGATTGAGGCGTATTGTGCTCTCTGGGGTCATGGTCTTCGGCCATGCCATCTGATTCGGGATCTGATTGATCCTCCGTATCCATGCAGGTCCCTTCTTCAATCTCGCTGAGATCCGACTCAGAGTCTAGCTGGGCTTTTGCCCTTTTCCATAACCTAGCCGATTTTGCCCGGCTAGTGGCTCTTTTGCGCGGTGGTATATTAGGCGTGCCATCTGTGACAGGTGTGTAGCTGTCCATCTGTGAGATTGAAGAGTGTTTAGTTTTAGCCATGGCCTTGCGGCCAGTGTGAGGTTGTATTGGGGTTACTACAGGCAAAGCCTGGGTAATGGTCGGCTGAGCCGATTTCTGTGCTTCAAGCAGAGCATGTGTAAGAGTCTGTGAGATTGACTCAGACATCAGTCCCATGGCCGACGTAAGGGCCTTAGTCATGACATGAGACATAGTGCTGTCAATCAGTGACTGCATATCAGCAGTAGGATCAAATTCAGCGGGGATAGCCGCTCCAATATCAGATACCCCTGTGGGTGTTTTAACACTCCCTAGATTGGTGTTATGAGACTCAGAAGAAGTGGGCATATCTTTGTCACCAGGCATGCTGGGTGTATTTAGAACTGGCACAAATATCAAATTTGTTATAGAAATTTAAACCTAAAATGGATGGTTGATTAACCCAGAGGAGAAAAAGGGGTAATAGGTCTTTAAGGGTAATGAAAGGCAAATATATAAGCAGATACACTAGGAGGGGGCAAGGAGCCGTCCGACCACCACTGCAGCTGAAACCCAACTCCGAGGTCTGGTCGTTGGGGGTGGAGCTGCGTGCTGAGCGTGGGAAACCAACAAAATGGTAGCCGCGAGCGGCGGTGAGGAGAGCCCAGAAGGTAAAGCTGGTAAAACGGTGCTTGCGGCGAATGTGTAATCACTTGTAACGTGCTTATACATTCGGGAGCCGCGAGCTGGGAGCCGGTCGTACCGGAGTCTGTGCTCTGTGGGTGGCGGCCATTCACGGTGGCAATGGAGAAAAAAAGCGCCATGACAGGGCAGGTGCGGCTCCAGCCAACGTCCCCGAGCCCGGCAGAGTTAGGCTGGGCTAAGGAGACCCAAAGGGGGGAAGGCAAAATAGCAAATATACAAAGAGCAGGATAGGAAAGAATGTGAAAGCTAATCAGAAACCATCAATGGCATTTGCAACAATGCAGAATTACAACACAGTACAATGATGTTATAAACTAACAATATTAATAATAATATTAATAATAGCACAATGATGTTATAAATATAATAATATTAATAATAATATTAATAATAATAGCAATAAAGTGAATAAAATTATCATTATAAGAAAATACTAATCCCACAGTTAAGGAACCTGAGGGATCAGATATACTTAACTGAGGGAGCAGCAAAGAAAGAGGAAAAGGATTGTTTGCCAGAGCCTATTATGCTGGAGGAGTGGAACCTGATTGGCTGTTCCTGTTGCTGGGAAGAATACACCTCAGACTATTAATGTTACTCTTAGCACTTTCTAGATTATCAAAATAAAACTTTGCAAAACATGAACTGAACTTCATTACAGAATGCTGAAAAGCCCTACGGAGCATTAAAACCCATTGTTAACTACATCAGAATCTTACATAGCTTTTTAAAACAAATTAGTTCGTAATTGTATAGGTCTGTCCTGTTACAGGTGGTAGCCAGCCTACCCCCGTCACTTTGTCACTACATAATAGTGGCAAAGCATCATGGGAGATGTAGTACAAAACATCTGGAGTGCCAAAGCTTGCCTACGCTTGGAAGGATGCTGCAGAGCCGTACCAATGTTTGCAAAACAATACAGAGCCTATAAATGAAGTACACAATTTTACAGAGACGTTAGAAGGTATTTTAGAGGTTTTTTTACTATTCTAAGAGAGAACTTTGAAAGGCAATTTAATCAAAACAAAAGTGCAAAACAAAACCGTGTCTCTCTGTGCACATGTGTGCGCGTGTATCTACCGTATGATTAAATGCGTACATGATCTGTAGATGTGAACTCACATATATTCCCAGGATAGAAAACCCATTAAATGTGAATCTCTTGATAGCTACTTAGGACAAATGCATATTTATATACTAACAGGATGCATGAAAGAAATTAATCCACTTACCAAATAATCCTGTTTCAATGTAAATAAATCTCTCAGCGTTATATGAATAACAGCAAGCACCATGCGCTGCTTTTTTTTCACCCAGAATTCAATATGCAATTTTAAAAGTAACATTTTTACAGCTTTTTGAGCTTCAACTTTTTTCACTGCATTGGATCAGACAAATCCATTTTTCAGTCCACTGCATATAAAACAGTAAAATTGTAATGTGTTTCTTTGGTCTTGTATTTCAGTGTAATTAATTACATAAGTATTTCTATTAATGAAACAAAGGTAGTTAGGGTTAGTAGCGGGTTTAAGGAGACCTAGTTGGGTCTAAAGTGGGAGTCAGTAGGGTCTAAGGTTAGGTTGAGTGATATTTCAGGTTAAGGTTAGTGGACTAGATGGGCCGAATGGTTCTTATCTGCCGTCACACAGTGGCGGATCCAGGGGGGGGGCAACGGGGCAATTGCCCCCCCGTGATTCTCCCCTGCCGGTTAATGCAGGGCTAGCATTGTCAGAGATCTCCCTCCCCGGTCTGCAGGCACTGTGATCACAGCCGACAGGGGAGGGAGGGAGAGAGGACCCGGGAGCTCTTACCTGCAGCTCCTCCGGGTCCTACTCTCGCAAGCACAGAGCGTTGCCGTGGTTACCACTGCAACGCTCCAAATCTTGCAAGAGTGAACTCTAGCCCTGGAGTGCCGGGTACAGTTCAGTTCCACCACTGGAACCACCAGGGATTTCCCACCGGACCACCAGGGATCCAGAAATGTCCCCCCTCCTCCCAGTAAAGGTAAGAAGGGAGGGGGGGCATAAATATATTTATTTTATTAAATAAATAAAAAATATATTAAAAAGCCTCCCTACCCTCCTTCCTCCCCCATACAAACACTGCCCCCATACACACACTACACACACTGCCCCCATACACACACACTACACACATTGCCCCCCCACACACTGCCCCCATACACACAGTGCCCCACACACACACACTGCCCCCCATACACACAGTGCCCCACAAACACTTCCCCCATACACACACTGCCCCACAAACACTGCCCCCATACACACACTGCCCCACAAACACTGCCCCATACACACACTGCACACCCATACACACACTGCCCCATACACACACTGCACACCCATACACACACTGCTCCACAAACACACACTGCACACCCATACACACACTGCCCCCCATACACACACTACACACACTGCTCCCATACACACACTACACACCCATACACAAACACTGACCCTATACACACACTACACACACTGCCCCCCATACACACACTGCCCCAAACACACACACACACAGCAACTCTCACATACACTGCCACCCTCACATACACACTGCAGCTCTCTCACACACACACTGCAGCTCTCTCACACACACACTGCCCCACACATACACTGCAACCCTGACATACACTGCTGCCCTCGCGCACTCGCACACACACTTCACCGCTCACACACACACACACACACTGCACCTTTCACACACACTTCACCCCTAACACATACCACTGCTCCTATGCCCTATATCCCAGCAGACCCCAGGTAAGTTGTCAAACTGTTCTTAAACGGTTTGACTACTTACTCTAGGATGGGATCCTGACACTACTGGCACCATAACTACTACTGAGCTGTAGTGGTTATTGTGCCTGGATTATTTCTTTAAATAATCTACAAGTGCCCCTCCCGAGATCTGGATCCGCCACTTCCGTCACATTCTATGTTTCTAGGGAACCAGGTTTAGAAGAATGGGGTCCCAGGTTAGTTCAGCGGGTAGGACTCAAGTCATAGACTTAGTGAGTGCCTAGGTTAAATTCAGTTTGGGACCAGGTTTGTCTTCTAGATTAAACTTGGTAAGGTTCTGCGTTAGGGCTTCCATTGTCAGAAGAGTATGTCTAGAGAAGTTCAAGTTAGGAATAGTAGGGTTTGAGGTTAAAGTTTGTGAGGTCTTAGGACAAGATTTAGAGGTCCCAGGTTAGAGTTAGGAGGGTAACATGTCGCGGTGTCTATGAGGAATTAAATACACTATATATACTTCACAGAGCATTAAGACAAGCATTCTGCTCACTAACTGGATAATGACATAATTGACATTAGAGGGTTTTGTCCTTCAACTCATGATTGAGTTATAAGGGTGGATGGTGTAACTAACGCACAAGTCACATAGACTGCACAAAATAATTAGAAATATCTTGACTTTCCTGGTGAAACCACAAGATCTGCCAGCTATGGCATCAAGTTTAACTTATGACCCTACCAAGGGGCAAGTCATCTAATAGTGTAAATAACTACCAAATACTACTAATCACCCAAGATAGGGTCTGGCCGTCTGTATTTACCAACACCACCTCATTGCCTGCTGAAGTGCGTATTATTAAATTAGTATAAACTTATTGGGCTAACACCACTCTAAACCATATGATTTGAGAATAGGTGGGAAAGCTTAAACATATTTGTTTGGGGTTCTTATTTTAGAGAGAGGGAGTGTAGAATATAAGTGATTTTATCATATAAAATATTAGGTTGCTGATTATGGCTCTAGCTAATTCAGAGGATGGTGTAGCGGAATGGAGAACCCAAATATACTTTTATTCCCTTTGCTCGGCTGTCCGTATACCTCCGTTTGTTCTTTTTAGTCACTGACCACCCCTGGCTGTTAACCACAAATTGGTTGTTAGTTCAAGTGTTTTCCCTGTGTGGCCGCTGTTTTTATAACCTAACACACGTGTTCAAACAATTGGCGCCATTATGTCTCCGAACACGGGCAGCCCATCCAACTTCCTGAACAGTTAGAAGAACGGCCTTCAGGAGGCATAAACTACCGAACAGGGCCGGTCCGGCACAACCGTTAGACGAACTAGGGCGCCCGCCGGGATGTTTTCTGGTGGGCTGCCTGCTCCTGTCTGGGGACGCAGCACTGGGCACAGGGGGGGCAGGAGGTGGCCATCTGGCCAACTCAGGGCGCCCCCAAAGCTGTGACAGGTAAGGCAGAGCAGGAACCTGCTTACCTTGATGACAGGTGCCTGCATTGACAACAAATGCCGGTGACAGTCCGGAGGAGAGGCGGAAGGAGAAGCCAGGCGGTGAGGAAGGCTGTTCTTGCAGCCTCTCACTCCTCCCTCGCGCGTCCTCTGTGATGCGGGGAGACGGAATATGATGTCATTCCGGCCCCCAGCATACTAAACAGTGGGCGGGAGGAGTGAGGAGCTCTTTTATATTTAAAAGAAGAAAAACTACCACAACAAGAGGACATAGTCTTAAATTAGAGGGACAAAGGTTTAAAAATAATATCAGGAAGTATTACTTTACTGAGAGGGTAGTGGATGCATGGAATAGCCTTCCAGCTGAAGTGGTAGAGGTTAACACAGTAAAGGAGTTTAAGCATGCGTCGGATAGGCATAAGTCTATCCTAACTATAAGATAGGGCTAGGGACTAATGAAAGTATTTAGAAAATTGGGCAGACTAGATTGGCCGAATGGTTCTTATCTGCCGTTACATTCTATGTTTCTATGTTTCTATGTTTCTATGGACCCCAGGGAGGTGAGTGTTTGAGGGTCAGTTAGTGTGTGTGTCTGTCAGTGAGTGTCTGCCTGTGTGTGTGTCTGCCACTGAGTGAGTGTATGTATGCCAGTGAGTGTCTGCCTGTGTGTATGTCAGTGAGTGTTTGACTGTCAGTGTGTGTGTGTGTGTGTGTGTCAGTGAGTGTATGTATGTCAGTGAGTGTCTGTCTGTATGTGTGTGTCTGTCAGTGAGTGAGTGTATGTATGTCAGTGAGTGTCTGTGTGTGTACCTGTCAGTGAGTGAGTGAGTGTCTGTCTGTCAGTGAGTGTCTATCTGTGTGTGTCTGTCACTGAGTGAGTGTATGTATGTCAGCGAGTGTCTGCCTGTGTGTGTGTCACTGAGTGTGTGAGTGTTTGACTGTCAGTGTGTGTGTGTCTGTCAGTGAGTGAGTGTATGTATGTCAGTGAGTGTCTGTGTGTGTGTCTGTCAGTGAGTGAGTGTATGTCTGTCAGTTAGTGTGTGTGAGTCTGTCTGTCAGTGAGTGTCTGTGTATGAGTGAATGTCTGTCAGTGAGTGTCTCTGTGTGTGTGTGTGTCAGTGAGTGAGTGTATGTATGTATGTGAGTGTCTGTGTGTGTGTGTGTCTGTCAGTGAGTGTCTGTGTGTGTGTGTGTGTGTGTGTGTGTCAGTGAGTGAGTGTATGTATGTATGTATGTGAGTGTCTGTGTGTGTGTCTGTCAGTGAGTGAGTGTATGTCTGTGGGTGAGTGTGTCTGTCAGTGAGTGTGTGTATGTCTGTCAGTGAGTGTCTGTCAGTGAGTGTGTGTTTGTGTGTCTGTTAGTGAGTGTCAGTAAGTGTCTGTGTGTGTCTGTCAGTGAGTGAGTGTATGTATGTGAGTGTCTGTCAGGGAGTGAGTGTATTTATGCCAGTGAGTGAGTTTGGGGTGTTTTAAAATATTGTATATTTTTCTGTACCTGTGAGATAATTAAGTTATAGCTTTTTCTCACTCAATTATCTCTCATGCACAGAGGATCCTGAGAAGAAAAGTCCTGTATTTTTTGCTTAGAAACCCCATGCTAGGGGCAATGTATAAAAGCCGTGTGTGGCAGGAATAAAGCCAGTCGTACTCCCAGACTTGTGTGTGTCGTCCAGTTGCTGGGGAGAAGGTGGGCTATTTCTTTGGCATTTTTCTTGTTCCTGATTATACTCTTGTGGATCCAGCAGAGAAAGGTACCTGCTAGGACTAGGGCTCCACTACAGATGGGATCCGTGGGCACTTATGATTTAAGATACAGTATCATGCTGATTTAACATAACGTGCTTGTTTTAGAGATGGGCTATTCTAGCTAGTTTTATTTTACACCCTTAGGAATTAAGTATTTTACCAGAAGAAATGGTTCATAGAAGACCTTGAGAGAAGCAGGGGAAAGGACAGAACAAGTCAGGGGGTTTGATAAACTGACACAAGAAAATGGGTAATGATAAGAGGCAGCGTCCAAAAATAAAAATAGATGATGGTGGAAAGGGAGTGGAGAATAAGGAACAGTGACAGAAATACAAGAGAGAGGATAAAGCAGAAAGAGAGAACAAAAACGATGACAGAGAAAAAGGAGACAGGACAATGACAGAAAGTAGGAGACATGGATGGAGAGAAGTAGAAAAAGGAACTGCGAGATAAAAGCAGGGAAAGTAATGGTAGTTGGAGAGAGGCAGTAGATGGAGAAGAGATCGGAAAAGAGCAATGACAGTGAGGAGAAGGAGCTATCTCAGAGAAGTAGAGAAGGAAAGTCGAAGTAGAGGAGACAGTGACAGAGAAAATCATGAACAGTACAGTAAAAGAATACAGCATACTGCTAGATTGCACACACTCTGCAGATTAAATAACCAACTATAAAATGCACTCACCAGGTGATATCAGGTAAATCCTTCTCCGATGCTTTCTCTTACTGATCTCTCTGAGACTGTGACTTCTCTGTGCCTGGGTTCCACTCCTGGGAATACATCCATGGGAGGGACAAAGCGTGTCAATGGGAGTTACTATCTAACACTGCTGATGTTGAAGTGTTAGTTCTGTATGATCATTGTGGCAGAGGACCTCTCCTGGGATATTATCCTGATACTGGAACGAACCTAAGTTTATGTTTGACTGCTCCTAAACAAGTTGACTGTAAATCACAGGCGAACGCAGCACATTTCATTAGTGAATGCAACTAGGAGTTCTTTCTCTATGTTGTATCTAAAATTTTATATAAGGTAAATATTTATCAAAGGACCACTAAATTCACCCAGATTACTTTATCTCAACGAGGTGGTCTGGGTGCTGTGGTCCTGCATGTTTAACCCTTCAAGGTAAAACAATGCAATTTTGCAGAAGGCAATATTGACCTGGAAGGGTTAAATAGCCATTAGAGGTACTCCCATTTAACTGAGAGAGTTAAATGTGGTCATGTGACACGGAAGATCATAGCAAAGCCTTGGATTCAATGCTTTCCTATGAGAAGCGTTGAATTGGCAGGTGGCCCGCTCTACACACATGCATCAGGTCTAGGGGCCTGAATATAACTATGGACAGGGGAATACAGATCTGTATTCCTAACGTTATAGTGTTCATGTAAAAGAACACTCCAAACATCATAACTACAACAGTCAGCAATATTAATCTAAGCATCTTCTGCAATAATTGCAGAGTTCCAATCCGGACTATGTGAAGCCCTGTTGGGAGGATGAGACTCCGGAGCCTGTATGTGCTAGTGAGTGTATATATGCCAGTGTGTTTGTGTTAGTGTGTGTATCTGTGTGTCAACGTGTGTGCATGTGTCCAGGTGTGTCCATGTATCAGTTTGTTTATGTGTGTCAATGTGTATGTATATCTGTGTTAATATGAGTGCATACATCCAGGCAATCAAACACACCACTGCAAACACAATCATTATATACAAACACAGCCCTGAATTCAAACTCCAAAATTGTATACAAACACACTCTTCACTCACACCAATACTACACACAAATGTACATCTGTATTTAAAAGACAACACTACATTCAAACACAGCCCTGCATGCAATTACAAACATTACATACAAACACACCCCTTTATTAAAATGCTAGAATATTTTACAAACACCAACTCTATACACAAAAGCACACCTGCATTTAAAAGCCAGCACTACATGCAAACACACACCTCTGACATGCAAACAGTACAGTACACCACTGCATTCCAATGGTAACGGTACATACAAATACACCCCTACATGCACACACATACTCTATACAAAAACATGCTTACATTCAATTTCACAAACACTGCTCACAAATACAACCCTACAAGAATGGCCAAATGGTAGATCCCCAGCTGGCATAGCATCGTGGGAGTTGTACAATAGATGGGTATCTATTTTTTCTCCACTCTTGCGATAGAGGGGAGACCCCCCCAAAATGATTGCACTATTTACATTAGTTCCATCACTAGGTTGGGGTGGAGGCCGTGATTGCATGCCAGCGAGCTAGGGGTTGGGGGGAGGGGGCTTGGACAGGGTCAAGGGGGTCCAAGCAAATGCTTGCCCAGGGTCCCATCGATATTAAATACGCAGAATAACTCAGAATTTAGTCTACTCCAATCCTTACTGAAGTTAAACCGAGTCAGAGTTGCAGCCACTTTTGCTGAAAATGAACAGTGGTAATCATAGAAGGTACTCCCCCTGCTGTCTGTAAAAAAAATTAAAACAGTTTAAAATAACATTATATATACTTAGATCATATATATATATTTATAATATATATATGATCTAAGTATATATATACACATATACATACATACACATAAATACACATAATTATATATATATTAATATCAAAATACACGTAGAATGATATTGATTTAATTTATATATAATTATCATTATATATATATTTCTATATAATATAAAATAAATATATATGTAAATACGTTAATAATAAAATTTAAAAAATAATAAAAAATAAATAGAAAATATATATATGTGTGTAATTTCGTTCTAACTGTATTTTAAAATGAATATATATATTGAAATCAAAATACACGTAGAACGAAATAATATATATATATATATATATACATAAGTATATATGTATATATCACTATATATGCCTATATATTAATAAAAAATACTTTAAAAAATTATATATATATATATATATATACACACATATATATATATATATATATATATATACACACACACACACGTATACATATAATAATTGTATGTATACATTTATGTAATAATTTTACATAATTAGGTCATTTTATTAATTACAATTTGCAGGACCTGCCTGATAACCCAGGCAGAAAGTCCAGAGAATTTAATTTGCTAGCATTATATTTAACCCTGTAACTTTCCAAGACATCATAAAACCTGTACATGGGGGTACTGTTTTACTCGGAAAACTTCGCTGAACACAAATATTAGTGTTTCAAAACAGTAAAATGTATTACAATGACGATATCGTCAGTGAAAGTGAAATATTTGGCATTTTTCACACAAATGGAACTTAAACTGATGATATAATTGTTGATATGTTTTACTGTTTTGATACACTGATATTTGTGTTCAGTGAAGTCTCCTGATTATAACAGTACCCCTCATGTACAGATTTTATGGTGTTTTCAAAAGTTACAGAGTCAAATATAAGGCTCGTGTTTCAGTTTTTTCACATTGAAATTTGCCGAACAAGCACTTCCGGGTTAGTCTCCATCAAACTGGAGGAAGAAGAGGGCTGGAGGAGGAAGAGGGCTGGAGGAGGAAGAGGGCTGGAAGCGTTTGGTATGTGGTCAGGTAAGCAGAACCAGATGGACAGGAGCCAGGATCCAGGACCATGAGGACACAGGTAAGAAACAGCAAGATGGCGACTTGTGAGTGACCGGAAGTAGTCACACTCAACTCTCCAGACCAATAACGGTATGTAAGATAGGATTGGAGGCCCTTAAAAAGGGGACCCAAAACCCCTCCCAAAACTACAGGCCCAGCCTTAAATATATAAAAAATACAACATTTTGTGAATGAGTAAGTATCTAACCAGGATGGTTATGATATAATGGGGTTTGCATTACACATTGTCCTGAGGTAGTTGAAGAGACACCCAGATTTCCATATCATCTACATATTATTGTAGTGGCTGTGTTAAAAATGTTCATGGGTTCTCTTCCTCTTTTTTTGTTTAACCATTTACAAGATATTTCACCTTCCCAAGCCCCCCTGTCAGCTTGAGAAATCGTGCAAATGATTAATAGGATATTTCACTTTACTCATTATGTGTCCATTAAGATGTAGTGGTATTGGTGCAAAGACTGTCCCAGAAATGGTCTCTGAGAAACAGCAATGTTCACATTTGTAAAAGAACATACCTCTAATGACCGTTACAGTGACAGCCACTACAGGTATTTCCTCATGAAAACCTTCAAAAATCAAAGCTCTTCACAACTAACCTACCGAGCCTTTTACCCATGGACACTGACCTCCTGGTTTGTCATTTTGACCACCAGGAAATTGCACAAGCAATTCAGCACCTACCGAAAAATAAAGCACCAGGGCCAGACGGCTTTACTAACGCCTACTATCAGATGTATTGTGACACCCTTACGTCTCATATTCTCAAGTTGTTCAACAACTGCTATTCAAAAGGAGTACGACCTCCAGAGATGCTTATGGCTCACATTTCCAGAAAAATCCCCTAATATGCGCCAATGTTTCAGACCAATCTCTCTTTTAAACTGTGACACAAAATTATATGCTAAACTCATTGCCAATAGATTCAATACAATCCTACCTAGGACCATTCACAATGACCAGTCGGGGTTTGTGCGCAAAAGACAGGGATCAGATAACACGAGGAAAGTTCTTAACACGATTGCATATATGCAGTCTGGCAACATTGGAGGCCTTATCGTGGAAAAGGCCTTTGATAGGCTAAATTGGGCATACATGAAACAAGTATTGTACAGGTACAGATTTTCTCCAGCCTTTGTGGCCGGCATTATGACACTATATAACGTACCTTCCACCAAAGTTTCAAATGAAGGCTTCCTCTCCTCACCGTTCCAGATTACAAATGGTATTAGACAGGGGTGCCCCCTAATCCTCCTCCTGTTTATCTTATCTCTGGAGCCTCTGGCCTACAAAGTTAGGACATTAAGGGAAAAAAATTAAGGGAATTGAAATCCAAAACAAGGAGTAATGTTTATCTCTACCGCACCTCCTATCCTTATTACAGGAAAATAGCAAGGTGTCCTATTATAAGCCTAACAACAACAAAACTCAAGCCCTATCAATTCACTTGCCTGCCGCAACAGTGCACTAATTGCAACAAATACACAAGTTCGATTGGAGAATGACGAATATTACCTACCTTGGGACTAAAATCACACCCTCCTTCAGTTCTATAATCAAACATAATTACACACCACTGCTACAAATATGCAAACAAGATTTCCAGAAATGGAAATCGGTCAAGCTCTTGTGGCTGGAAAGGATAAACACAGTAAAAATGGTGACACTCTCAAAGATACTCTATGTGTTTCGGATGTTGCCTATCCAGATTCCACCTGCCCTCTGTAAACGAATACAATCAGTGATTTCCGCTTTTGTGTGGGACGCTCGTAGACCTAAGCTATCTCTCTCTTTACTTCAAAGATACGCAACCAAGGGAGGACTAGTAATCTTGCTTACCATAAATCTGTCATTCTAGTTTTGGACCCCCATCACTTATAGAAATAAATCCCTCACCCTGCCAACCACCACCACCACACTTTTACTGAAAGTCTGGGGGCAAAAAGATTAGAGATCACACAGAAATTTCACTCACTAACAACAATAAATGAAACACGTATCACCCTGATTGTCCCCTCAGGCATGGGCCAAACAAGGTATCCACACCATAGAGGACATATGTCAGCACGGGACTTTGATGCCCTTTCCAGATCTACAAAGTAAATATGAACTGCCTAATTCATATGTGTTTCAGTATCCATAAATTAAGAGTGTCATTACAAAAGTTGTATACGGTAGTTGAGATCTTGATTTCTCTAAAGGCCGAGATCCCCAACTAGTGGGTGAAAAAAGCAGATCTGCTCCTGAAAAATCCTAAACCCCTATCAATGTGCTATAGAGCCTTAGTTGACTTGGATCCACATAAACACCTTGGCTTTGAAAAACAGTGGGAGGACAGAGGAGGATGCTTCCCCGAGAGGGAATGGGTTCTCATCCTAAATACACTGAAAAAAGTGACAAAATGTTACTCCCATCTAGACGCACATAAAAAAACAATATATTGGTGGTACTTCACACCCAGTAAGCTGCACAAGGCATATCCCAATGTCTCCGAACAGTGCTGGAGATGCGACGGCGCGGAGGGCACTATGATGCATGTGTGATGGGAATGTCCAGAAATTAAGCCACTATGGAATAGAATAGGGGTGCTCCTTGGGAAGGTCCACATAGCAGACATAACTTTTTTCCCTTTGGCACCCATACTATCACATAGCAGAAAGGATAAGGGACAAAAAAAAGATACATCTTGAGAGAAGACATTAAGATTTAAGACTCCATCCCCATAAAGGGTTCAGGTGACTGGAGCCTCTTTCTCAAACCTTGGGAATGAACCTTGGAAAACTTTGGGAACGTACCTGGACATATATGAAATTAAGTGTTGTAAAATGGCATATTTATGTTCTGCTGTACAAGACTGGAAACCTGCTTGTGATACCATTGTACTACACTGTGCAACCCTGTAAACCCTTCTAACCCCCTTTTTTTTCTTTCTGTACGTTTATTTTAAAACAATAAAATACGAATTATACAAAAATCTAAGGTCTTCACATTTAGCCCTGGCCAGGCTGGCCCCCCGGAAAACAAAAGACATTATCTGATGTGCCACTGCATCCTGGGGCTGACTGCTGCTGTATATGTCGGTTTTCTGTTGTTGTTTTTTGTCTGTGGTATGTATGTGTGCCTCTAAAGGTGAGTTATTCGAGACGTGGAGGCAGCCAGTCACTTATGGCAATTCACAGAGCTAAGACTCCACGGATACATGACAGCTGAAACACTGTGAATATCTGAGAGGATCAAGGCTACATAACAAGACCTTATATAAGTGCAGGAAAGCATCTGCATACAGTTGCAAGAAAAAGTATGTGAACCCTTTGGAATGATATGGATTTCTGCACAAATTGGTCATAAAATGTGATCTGATCATCATCTAAGTCACAACAATAGACAATCACAGTCTGCTTAAACTAATAACACACAAAGAATGAAATATTGCCATGTTTTTATTGAACACACCATGTAAACATTCACAGGCAGGTGGAAAAAGTATGTGAACCCTTGGATTTAATAACTGGTTGAACCTCCTTTGGCAGCAATAACTTCAACCAAACGTTTCCTGTAGTTGCAGATCAGACGTGCACAACGGTCAGGAGTAATTCTTGACCATTTCTCTTTACAGAACTGGTTCAGTTCAGCAATATTCTTGGGATGTCAGGTGTGAATCGCTTTCTTGAGGTCATCCCACAGCATCTCAATCGGGTTGAGGTCAGGACTCTGACTGGGCCACTACAGAAGGCGTATTTTCTTCTTTTTAAGCCATTCTGTTGTTGATTTACTTCTATGCTTTGGGTCATTGTCCTGTTGCAACACCCATCTTCTGTTAAGCTTCAGCTGGTAGACAGATGGCCTTAAAGGACCACTATAGTGCCAGGAAAACATACTCGTTTTCCTGGCACTATAGTGCCCTGAGGGTGCCCCCACCCTCAGGGTCCCCCTCCCGCCCGGCTCTGGAAGGGGAAAAGGGGTTAAAACTTACCTTTTTCCAGCGCTGGGCGGGGAGCTCTCCTCCTCCGATCCTCCTTCTCTCCTCCCATGCGGCTGAATGCGCACGCGCGGCAAGAGCTGCGCGCACATTCAGCCGGTCACATAGGAAAGCATTCATAATGCTTTCCTATGGACGCTGGCGTGCTCTCACTGTGAAAATCACAGTGAGAAGCACGCAAGCGCCTCTAGTGGCTGTCAATGAGACAGCTACTAGAGGGAATGGGGGAAGGCTTAACCCATTCATAAACATAGCAGTTTCTCTGAAACTGCTATGTTTATTAAAAATGGGTTAACCCTAGCTGGACCTGGCACCCAGACCACTTCATTAAGCTGAAGTGGTCTGGGTGCCTAGAGTGGTCCTTTAAGTTCTCCTGCAAAATGTCTTGATAAACTTGGGAATTGATTTTTCCTTCGATGATAGCAATCTATCCAGGCCCTGACGCAGCAAAGCAGCCCCAAACCATGATGCTCCCACCACCATACTTCACAGTTGGGATGAGGTTTTGATGTTGGTGTGCTGTGCCTTTTTTTCGCCACACATAATGTTGTGTGTTTCATCCAAACAACTCAACTTTGGTTTCATCTGTCCACAGAATATTTTGCCAGTACTGCTGTGCAACATCCAGGTGCTCTTGTGCAAACTGTAAAAGTGCAGCAATGTTTTGTTTGGACAGCAGTGGCTTCCTCTGTGGTATCCTCCCATGAAATCCATTCTTGTTTAGTGTTTTACGTATTGTAGATTCGCTAACAGGGATGTTAGCATTTGCCAGTGACTTTTGTAAGTCTTTAGCTGACACTCTAGGATTCTTCTTCACCTCATTGAGCGGTCTGCACTGTGCTCTTGCAGTCATCTTTACAGGACGGCCACTCCTAGGGAAAGTAGCAGCAGTGCTGAACTTTCTCCATTTATAGACAATTTGTCTTACCATGGACTGATGAACAGCAAGGCTTTTGGAGATACTTTTATAACCCTTTCCAGCTTTATGCAAGTCAACAATTCTTAATCGTAGGTCTTCTGAGAGCTCTTTTGTGTGAGGCATCATTCACATCAGGCAATGCTTCTTGTGAAAAGCAAACCCAGAACTGGTGTGTGTTTTTTATAGGGCAAGGCAGCTGTAACCAACACCTCCAATCTCATCTCATTGATTGGACTCCAGTTGGCTGACATCTCACTCCAATTAGCTCTTGGAGATGTCATTAGTCTAGGGGTTCACATACTTTTTCCACCTGCACTGTGAATGTTTACATGGTGTGTTCAATAAAAACATGGCAACATTTCATTCTTTGTGTGTTATTAGTTTAAGCAGACTGTGATTGTCTATTGTTGTGACTTAGATGATAATCAGATCACATTTTATGACCAATTTGTGCAGAAATCCATATAATTACAAAGTGTTCACATACTTTTTCTTGCAACTGTATCTGCTGGTATGTCACTGAGTATGTGTTAGAGGGAGTTTGTGTGGGTCAGTATGTGTCAGTTTGAGTGTGTAGGTGTCAGTGAGTATGAGTTAGTATGTATGTGTTAGTGTGCGTGTGGGTCAATATGTGTCAGTTTTAGTGTGTAGTTGTCAGTGAGTATGTGTTTGTGTGTGTGTGTCAGTGTCTGAGAGTATGAATAGGTGTTAGAGTGTTTGTCAGTGTATATTGTGGCAGTGAGTGTGTTTGTGTATCACTGAGTGTGTGAGTTTCTACCAATGAATATGTGTTAGAGTGTGTGTATTAATGTATTGTTATGACACCAGGAGAGCCCTGGCACCCTTCCTAAATTTTAGAATAGTTTGACAGCAGGGCTTGAGTCCTGCAGGAACGCAAGAGAATGGCGTTCCTGCACTTTTTCCACAGCAGAAACGTCGTTCCCATTAGTAGTCCTGCAGTCAGGGCCGGCGCTACTATAAGGTGGCCCAGGTGGCCGCCTTAGGGTGCACCGGCCTAGGGGGCGCGATCTGCGGGTGACCGGCAGGAGGAAAGCGCCCTTTGCAGGGCTCCCCTCCTGCAGGTCACTGCCTGTAGCGTGGCCGTGTGTTGGGTCGCGACCTACCCAGTCTGACTGGAAATACAACAAAATACTTCCTCTCAGACCAGGACAGATAACCGGATCCTCCGTGGACTGTCCGCTCAGCCACATGGATGGAGATGCGGGGGACACAATGAGAGGGATGGAGAATGACGGAGGGGGTGGGCAATAACTGATACAGGAGGGGAGTCGGGGAACAATAATAGCCATGGGAGGGGGGACAATAATAAGTAGATATGTGCAGTCGGGCAATAAAAGTTACAGAAGGGGAGGGGGGACAATAATAAGTAGATAAGGGGAGGGTGGGCAATAAAAGTTACAGGAGGTAAGGGGGGACAATAATAGATAAAGGAGGGGGACAATAATAGGTACAGGAGGTTAAGGAGGAGAATAAAAGGTACAGAACGGGAGAGGGGCAACAATAATAGGTACAGAATGGGAGAGGGGACTATGAAACATACAGAAGAAGAGAGAGGACAATGATGCCAACGCCAACAAACAACAAATGTTTGTCAACAAAATAAAATGTCCAATGACAATCTGAGGTTAGTTCATTGGCTACGAGA